GTTAGTACTTACAGCAATATATACAAAATAAGCAGTCTGATACATGTAGATTTTTGTCGGATTTTACGTCAGGGACATATTGTGACTTTTCAATCTTACTGGTGAAAAAAGACCTCAGGTACATTATTTCAGGCACGAACGGGAACCTGAATAAAACTGGCGACGTTCCTTAAACTAGCTGGAGTATCTTCCACATATCAATCTCTTTTTCAGTCAAAAAGGACATTTAAAAAGCATACATTATTTTGTCTTGAATCAGCAGATTCGGGACATTCCTTTAGGTCCCAAAGTTACTACAGATATACAACCATTAACTCTATTTACATACTAGCTTTCGCTTTTGGCAGATTTCTCAGTTGTTTTACGTACGTTTGTCTCATATGAGACAAATGGGACCCAAATGTCTAATCATAAGACAAATGTGCTCCGATCAAGTATTTTAAGGGACAGAAAAAGCACATTTGTCTAATTTTTTTTAAGAAACAAAAAAGCACATTTGTCCCATTGTATTTTTATGCATTATTTGGCACATATTTTCCCACGGCAATAATTCTTAGTATCGAGGTTCGCCGTTTTACCTCATGTCAAGTGTAATCATCAATATGTTTGCTAATGCTTTTTTAATCTTAAACCTAAAACCTGCAGTGGAACTGTTAATATCTCTTATTCAAGAAATTTGACTGGCTGAACCTGAAGGCGTACACTGAAACATACGGAATCCCGTTTACTATGGTACAATGGCACAATATGGTACGATGATGAAAACGCGATGGTACGATAGTGAAGACACGATATATACGTGCCAGTTTCATTCAATATATTGGTCATAGTGTACTCCCTTTTCAAAACATATAATGCTGTCATCCAGTTGTTAAGCACCTGCCTAAGTGCTACAAAGGTCTTTATCTAATTACTTGAACATTAAAAAGGCAAATTTTTTGGCCTATTAACTTTCGAAATGTCTCAGAGTCACTAATAATGGCGAAAAGGTGTTACGCAGTACAATATATAATAATGAAGGAAGGAAGTTATTATTGTGACATGTGCATAGCCAATTACAAATTAACTAAGTCTGTGTACAAAGAATTGTTTTGCAATATATTTCTCTGGGAGTCTGCAAATCTGACCAAAGAATATCAGTTTGCGCTTTGCAATTTCAGCTTCAATAAGAAACATACCTAATGCACCAAGGGAACTGTCGATGTATTGCGGGGTATTTTTTGTATACACTTACTACATTCTCTGTGCGCTCTCTCTAAGCGTAGCATTGCCGATGATTGAACACAATTCCACAGCTCGAAGTCATATAAATATTTTGGTAAAACAACCGTTTGATAAATGGTCGTGAGCGTCGGAGGAATTAAACCATCTGGGTGAAGACCAAAATTGAGAAGGCCATAAAATGTTGTCTTTAATTTACTTACTGCTTCGTCTTTGGAAGGACTCATGCATATATTATTATCACAAAGAATTTCGAGATGTTTGTATTGGTTACCATATTGAATATGTGAATTCCCTAGTAAGAACGTTTGTTCGTTCACATAATTATCTGAGGCAAAGCATTTCAAAACAAAGCATTTAGAAGCATTGTATTCGAATCGCCATTTTAATGCGTATCTGTCACATATATCTAGCATTTGTTGTAAATTTTTCTGAGATAAGGAAACTAGCACCATGTCATCTGTCACCGTTGGCGAACCTATCGTAAAGTTGTAAACACAGATCCCGAGACCACTTCGTTCTTCTTTCATTATCAAGTCATTTATGAATAAAATAAAAAGCAGCTGTGAGCTTTTACTCCCCTGTCTTGTACCTTTTATATGTCAAGAATAGTCTTAAGAACTCCATATATTCCCGTTTTTATCATATTGCTAACATTTCTACAGCTGTAAAATTTCCGGCTGCCAGGTCGCTAGAAAAAAGAACAACTTTCTAATTGTGATTTTTTTTCTTCTTATATATAACTGTTAAAAGATAAGATATGTATTTCAAAGTTAATTAAGAGTCGTTTTTCAATTCTTTTCCAAACTTTTACAACATTAATATTTTGGCCGTTAATTTGCCGATATATTGTAAAAAGTATAAGGGTTAAATTATGACCGATGCATGACAAATACGTTTCCTGTAAGGAAACGTAAATAGTGATTTTGAAATTTAGAAAACGTTTAAACCAAGCGTTTCTCTGAGAATTATAAATTTTACAAATAGTAAGTATAGTGGTTAAGAATAAAAATATGTTTTAACTAGTAAAGAACGGTGATAAATGATGAGTCAGCTTTAAAATATCACGGTACTATTTTTTGACCTGATTACCTCGGCAGTAAGATTTGATGAACGGTCTTAACATTTGGGAGGCAAAGCCTCCCCAAAAATAGTGTCTAATTACCTGACCGCCAACTACTATAAACTAAATTTCGATCTTTGATGTCAGTGCTCTGTAGGAGCACATTTATCTCGGAGCACCTTTGTCTTACGTAAGACCAATACGGTCGCATCTGTCCCACTTGAGACAAATGGGACCTCAAATGTCTAAGCCAAAAAATCGTGAAACAAACGGAATTCCATTCACGTACCCGATGGTACAATGGTGATGGTACGATGGTAAAAACGAGATAGTACAAACGTGAAACAACGATGGTACGCTGGCGAAACAACGAAGACACAATGATGAAAACGTTATGTTACGATGGTGAAAACATGATTTTACGATGGTGGAAATACAATGGTACGATAATGAAACTGCGAGGGCATGATGATGAAAATGTGATATTATTTTCACCATTGTGTCATCGCATCATCTTGATTTCACAACCTTGCCATCGTTGTTATCGTGTTTTCATCACCTGATCATCGCGCTTTGACAATTGTACCATCGTGCATCGCGGTTCAGGGAGGCAAAAACATGTTCCTTGTGTCCAAACGGAACACCGTGCTCGGGCAATATTTGAACGATACAATATCGTGACTCGTTTCGCATCTCGCCAGAATCTCGCGTCTTGCTTCGTTGACGCGAGACAAGAAAATCCTTTGAGGTTATATACCAAAAACATATCCATGATGAAAACAGCTTAAATTTAGCCGTCTATTACTTAGAGACACGATAGCGAAATTCCAGTAAAATGGAGGTGAAACCTCGTTGTACTGGATACTTCGACATTGCCGGATCTCGCGTTACAATTTCGTGCCTTCCTTCGTGTCTCTTCGAATGTTTTGCGTCCTTGATTTGGGGGGGCCCCATATCATAATTAGGCATTACCCCGGATTCATTTAGGAAAATCATGCACTTTTAAGTGCTTTTTCAAAGGCGGATCTGAAAAACAGCAATTCCGGGAAAAAGAGATATTTTTATATATATATTACATTTTATGTACAAAAAATAAGTAATGGCTTTTTTTCTTTCTAGATCATTTAGAGGCCTCTGTTGCCGAGTGATTAAAAAAAAAACACTCGTCCCTTACCGCTGTACGTTCGACAATTACTCGGGGCGTCGAAATATACATGCGAGAAAGCCCGTCCAGGGGTCCAAATGCGGAATACCTATCCGCGTGCGCACGTAAAGGTTATCGCGTGCGCACGCAATAACTATCCTTTTAGAACGTAACAGCTATCGCGTGCGTTAGTTTTAGTATCGCGTGGCCACGTAATAGCTATCGCGTGCGCACGCAATAAATAGTAAAAAAATCATATATCCCCTTTTACTACCTTGTTGTTGCTTAGAATATATCTTAAATCATTTATAAAACTTTAATCAACTACAATCAATACGCCTTAATTAACTACAATTAATAACGATATAGAATGGACTTGCTGCATATGGATACTGCACTGGCAGAAACTTTTACTGTAACATGCAGAACAGGGATATTCTTTAAGTTAATATATGACATCAATGCAGAGGCAGAAAGTTTCTGATTGACCGGAAGTTACATAAAAACGGTATAACAGAAAATACAGAAAACCCAGAACAATTTTTATATCCGCCTTTTCGGACAATTACAATGTACTAAGCAGAAACAGTTTTCTTTTTAAGTAGATTTTTATGGAAGAATGTGAGACAAATGTGCATCCGCCTCATTTCCAATTTGTCGCAAATATGAATGTTTACGTACACATCGGTCACACCTCGTGAGACAAATGTGTTCCGAGACAAATGTGCTTCTTCAATTCTCACTTCTCGATACTGTCCTCTATATGGACTTAACCGAAGTTGTCATCTTTAACTGTGAAATGGGGAAACGAGTTCAAAATTACTTATAGTATATCCAGTCAATGTACAATAAGTCTATAGTTACTGTAATGAAATTGTCCTTATTTGCGTTATGTAAATATACATTCCAAGTTTATAATCTGTCTCTAGTAATAACACAATTTTAGACTTATGTAATCACGGCAACAATCTGTCATCACTAGCGCTGGAAATCGTTGTGCGTGCGTGCGTGCGTGCGTGCGTTTGTGTGTGTGTATGTATGTATGTGTGTGTGTGTGTGTGCGTGTGTGTGTGTGTGTGACAAAACCAAAAAAACTTGTATTGTATTTTCATCATCTTTTTATTTAACGTAATGCAAGTACAGGCAATTTATTTTAACAACAATTTCATTTTTCATTAAAAATTTTATTAACATAGTGTGTACTTAACTGCGGTGACCATTATTAAAAAACTTAAAAAAATTTCACGTTTAAAACTATGTTTGTGGATTTCTGTTACATGTTTTGAAAAGGTACAAATTGACGACATAGGTGAACCACCTTTTGCTTTTGGCAACAAAGCTGTAATGATTTAGTATTTTGTATGGAAGGCAAAATACCACTTTGTTTACATTTTGCTGATTTAGTGACAAAATATTTTCCATTCAACACTGCTTAATTCCTCTAGATCAATTATTAAAACATCATAAAATACAGATTTTCCCTTTCTTCAGAGGAAACAATCACATTCAGTTACAAATCTTGATGTGTTTTTAAATCTTCAAGCATGTACCAAAAAAGTTTTAAAAATCTTATCTTAAAGTTACATTTTAAATTTCATAAAAACAGAAATAGCGACATTTCATTAATAAATTGGGTTTCATATCGACTCCAGATCTTATTTTGGTGTCCAGACAACCAAAATAAGTTTTATAAGCATAAAAAATGGACAACCTCATTGTGGCGAAATCGGAAGTACAATATCTGTTTGCATGATAAACTCCGCCTTCAGAACATCCGTACATCAATATTAAACCAACAAACATGACTATAAGTAGCAGTCCTAATTTAACGGTATATTTCCGCATTGTAACGGATGATTTCATACAAATTTAATCTTTTTTATGAGATGATTACATTTTACTGAACCTCAAGCCTAGTGCACCATGAAGTTAAACAGTTATAATGTATTTGCACAAGAAAATCTCATATTTGTTGTGTTCCGGATAGCAGCTATAACACTGTGACGTAGCGCATACACGAGCTGATTATATATTCTTCATTTGCATGTTAAAATTCGTATACGAACTTTAGTGTTACCGTGGGGTTTTCCGTTTAAAATCCTTATTTATGAAAATTATTTGCTGAGATTTACAACAATACTGTTAAAAAGGTTAATGAATCTGCAGAATGCTTGGTTTTTAGGCCGAAGGCAAAATATCTTTACATATTTATTTAATGTAGCTTTAAGAAGTTAAGAAAAAAAATTTACAATTCATAAAAGTTACACTTTATTATATATACAAAAATGGACGAATTTACAATTTCATAACAATTGATTCACAGTTTCTTTCAAACTTTTTTTTTTACATATGTTTGTTATTTATATGGATTGTAAATGCCCTATACTAACTTTCTTTAGTGCTAATGCTAAATGCTTTTTAATCTTCTTGACTCTAAGTCTAAGTGATAATTACCAACAATTACTTAAGTGATAGATAATTTTAGGTTTTATCAAATAAATTTGTTTTGTTAGCCAAAATAAATTGAATAGTTTTAAGTGCACTAACCTGCACTAACCATATGTAACGTTTTTCAAAATATTAAATGTGGGATACTTTATCAAATGAATAGTAATAGTTAATGACTATAAAACGCATGCTGTTTTTTTTACATATGCTTTACTATGTGTAGGACTAGCCATACGTTGATCGGTTATGAAAATGTATCTTCAAGTTATAAAACTATAATAAAATGTTATACAAAAGTAACAGATGAAAACATATACAGATATTATATTTACAATAACAATAGACCAAACAGTTAAAATTTATCCAATATATACCTGGTAAAAGTAATCATACGTGTTATAAAGTTGTTACCATAATTGGTTATGTTATGATATTACTAACTAATGATTTTAGCTTACAAAGTGATTCCTAAAGAAATTGACGTTATTGGTTCGTGTTGTAAAATAAATGGCGCACTATTCAAGTGAAATTTATAATTTCACAAACGTATTATCGATAACAACTGCCGATTGATTATGAATCTAAACTAAGAAGACACAATTTCATTTATTCTAAAGCTTCCTTAAAGATATAAGGACAAGAGCACCGCTAGGCGGAGCATTATATGCCCAAAAAGTGTTGTTTTTTAGTAAGGATGAAGCATAATTTTCAGTGTTAAGGTAATTGTGACCCTGACCTTTGACTTTAAAATCAATAGGGGTCATGTATTGGACATGGCTGTCCATCCTAAAAATTAACAGCTGTAGGTTGATTAATACTTAAGTTATTGAGAGAAAAAAACGTTTTGGACATGGCTGTTCATCCTATAAAATTTTACAGCTGTAGATTGATTAATACTTAAGTTATTGAGCGGAAACTGTTTTCAGTTTTAAGGTAATATTGACCTTGATATTTGACCTTGTGACCCAAAAATCAATAGGGGTCTTCTACTTAATATGGACAATCATCCTATGAAGTTTGAATATTGTGGGCCAAATGGAACTTAAGTTATGCTCCGGAAACCAAATTGCGGACAGACGGATGGATGACGGGGGGTATAACAAAAAAAATATGTCCGAAACTCTTTTGCCAAATTTCTAATTTCAGACTCGGGTTCAAGAGAGGAAAAACAAGAACAGATTTTACACCCGGGCCAGGGCAAACTTTGAACCAACGACGATGTTGTTATGAGTCTATTTTATAAGATATATTTAACTTATAGCTATAGAGAATATATATTTTAAAAGTTTATATACATAAAAGGAATACTCAGGCAAATTAATGACAAAATATTAAAATAATCTTAAATACTCAAATCACACTAAAATGACATTTTTTCAAAGTCCCTGCATGAATTTCTGTATAAATTCTATATATTTTGGATTTGAAGCGTAAATATATCTATATACATTTTGTATGTTGAACGAAATTTAGACGGCCCCAGAATCACCGAGTAGTCATGCGACTTGAACAAAACATGGAAGTTACACTAACAGATATTGTGGATATTGTATGATTGAAACAAGTCTAAGTCAGTCATTTATGCAAACTTTTACAGAATTTACAGAATAAGGAATGAATACTAGTAATTCGAAACGAAGAAATGAAAATTTTGCCTGTGGGCGGAATCAAGTTTTACCAAATAGGCGTTATACAAATAGCTTTGACGGAGGACTTCTACATCATGTAACACACCACATTTTAAAGCTACTGACATTATAAATTCTAAATGAGAGTTTTGAAATATGCATCTTTCACAAATATTTTTATGACCTACTTAATGCAAACTTTTTACAATTTAATAATTCGTTTTGGTCCTGCGATATTTAGTAATCGGTTTCAGTAAAGAAATAGATGAGAATCGACAGAGGGTGATCACAACAGCTCACCATGAGCACGTAAGAATTAAAATTGTTAACAAAATATCACATTTTACAGTTACAATCATAGCCTATCATAATTTATTTTCTCGTCTAAACACACCAAACGGTGTCGGACTTTTAACTTCAACTTCAACATCAATGTCTCTATCACTTATCACATTATCATTTTCTTGCACGTTGGTGTCTGCACGTTCTAGAGACGTTAATGTAACAGTAGAATCTTCACTGTCAAACGTTTCACGGTCAAAACTAGATTGTCGTTTGAAAACAATATCATCTCTAGATTTAACTGACTGGTTTACGTTAATTTTGTTTTTACTTCGAGATGAAACACCAGCCATCTTGTTTTCTTCTGGTATGTTTTGTAGACTAGATGTCGGTGAACCTAATCGCTTTTTCATTCCCTGCATGTTATCATCCTCAGAATGAACAGATATCGACTGGGAAAATGTTGATCCTGGATTTAAAATGATAGTAGTATATCAGATATTGTTTTACAAATGTAATGTAAAGTAATATTACTGGTCAACAATAGAAAAACAAATGTGCATTTGTGAATAAAGCTATGCCACCGCATGAATACAACACTAAATAGTATTTTTAGAACAGAAGATTTTTTTTGTTTCCATACAATTGAAGTATGCCATAATGCAGTCGAGTCTAGTGACTTTGGTAGTCAAGGTCATATTTCACATGGCCTAATTGCATGACTGTACATCAAATAAACAAGACAGTAACTCAATTTGTCAAAATCTAGGTCAGCTGATATCAAAGTTCGATTTACATCTTAATCTGTGCACATGATTCAAATGTCATAGCTGTACATCAAAGGACAAGAAAGTAGGTCATATGTCAAAATTTAGGTCAGCTGATGTTAAAATTTAATTTTACATCTCAAACTTTGTACAATGTCCAAATTTCATGGCTGTACACCAAGGACAAGACAATAGGTCACTGTCCCCTTGGGCAGCCATATTTTGACCCAATGGTTTAATTAAAACAATCTTTGACCCCCCCCCCCCCCAACTGAGACAAGGTTAATTTTGACACCAGGAAAAAATTTGAACAATTTTAACAGATGACATATTGATGATAATATATATAAATATCAAAACTCTAAGCCTTCAGACAAGACAATTTCCTTGTCATTTCCTCTTTCACCTTTAACTTGGGTGTGTCTGAAAAAACTTATTAAGGTGTCAATAAATCTAGTTTCAATAGTATTGAAGTTTATGAGCATGTAAGAAACCTTTACCAAAAACGTAAACCATCGTTGAACAGTGAAGTTAAAAACCAGGAGAAAAATAATACTTAAAAGCCAAAATTGATATAAATCGGAATTTGCAAAATCGCCTTCAAATACCTGAATCATTGTCGGAGTTTTCATCGAATGCTAAAGGTCTAAATCCTGATAGTTTCAGAACCAGTTTTTGTTGGTTAACTATAGTGTCCATCTTAGCATAAAGTTTCTCAAGGCGTTCTTTGTTGTCGGTTGTCTCTAGCTGGCGGACTGCTATATGATTCAGCATCTCGTATCTGAAGCTACTGATGTCCTGTTTAATCTCGTCAAAGTCTGCAATAATAAACACAAGTTTTTTACAAGGGGCTATGTTAATATCCCCGATGTTTTACAATATGTTAACTTAGCAATTTTTATTCTAACAAATAATGTACAGATGTGCATCTTAAAATATCAACTGATATGAATGTATGGTAATGATCTGATATGTCTAACGTATGCTTATAAGAATGATATAACCAAGATATGTCTTTCTTTGCTTTACTATAAGTTAAAGTACCTTTTATCAATACATTACCATACAAAGTATTCTAATCATTTACCGTCATTTGCGTCATTTTCTCTCTGGACATCAAATATATATCGCTTCACTATTCTCTTCATGACTCGCTATGATAGAAAAGAGATAAATTAAACCGAAATGCGTAGTCTTTGATATCATAAACGTTACATAAGGCACACTTGTATGCAATAAAATCATAAATAATGTTTGCATGTACATATATGTATTTTCCAAAACAACAGCCATCGAAGGCGGGGCAACATCTGACCTTTTCCTCAAAAAGCAAACACAAAAGAAGAACAATGTGATGAAATGCTTTCAAAAGCAACTTCATATTTCGAATTTATAAGAGCTTATATTTCACATTTGAAGTAAGGTCATTTAAAGATCAAGGTCATATTTAAATTGTTCAACATGTCGATCATACCATAAATGTAGTTTTGTACATGTATGAATTTAATATGTCCATTTATGATAGAGTTATGGTAAGTTTAGCAAATTTCAATAATTAACCTTGATTTTCAATGTTATTTTAATCAAGGTCAAACAAATTTAACATGCCAGTTTTTGTGTGAATCTAATACGTAAAATAATAGCAAAATTATGACAACTTAAGCAAGGACGTTTTCGGGAGTTTTCATATAGACATATAGGCAAGAAATAAGAAGAATATTTCTCAAAAAAGAAGAATATTTCTCTAGAATGCAATTGTTAAATTTCTCCTGTTAGTTTGTGTTTAATAAGAATCAAAGTATGAAAATAATAAATAGGACCAACGCTGACATTAAAAATAAAATATCATGTTTAAAGTGTTGCCTTGATTCTAACTAATATCTTTATAGATACCTTGTATGTCAGTTTGTCTGAAAATATGTTTGGGTCGGAATCATTCCTAACAAATCCGTTTGACGTCTGCATTTTTTCTTGAAAATGTTTGATTCCCGGTCCACCATGGTTTTCCCTAGTGCCCCAGGATATCTGGGCATTTGTCCGAGCAGCCGGGGTCACCTACAGATACCACAATACAAATGTTGTATATTACTTTTTTAAAAATTCTGTAAACTAAGGTACAACATAGGTAGAAGTTTTTTTCTATGTTTTGCCCCTATAAAACAATTATGCACCCCATGGCGGGGTAAATTTTGACATTATGGACAAAATTTGAACAACTATGATAAAAGACCTATAGATGATGCTGCTTACTAAATGTGTAAGTTCCGTGCCTAAATTTCTTATAACTGTGGCCCTTGGTGTCGCAGAGAAGATATTTTTCAAGCTATGGCTAGTTTTGACACCAAATTCATAATTTTAACAACTTTGGTATAGGACCAACAGATGATGTTTAATCATATATGAAATTAGCCTTTTTCGCATGATATATTGATTTTGCATTTTTGTACGATTTTTTTTGTAACCTACCAAAACAATTGTAGACGGAGACAAATTCCTGTGACGTTTTGCAAAAAATCCAGACATCGGTTTCAGAAGAGATGTTGTTAAAAGAAAGTTTTGACAACGGACAACACAAGACGACAAACAGAGTGCGATTATAATAGCTCATCACTCAAATGAGTTACAAATTGTGTATGATGCTTATCACTTAGAGCTTTGACATACTATAAGGGAATAAGCAACTGGAGGTTAGCTATTTATTATCTTTGCGCCCCTTTTTTCTTCGTACAAAATGGTTTCAATAAAAGAAATAAAAGCCATTTTTCATCAAGTTTTAACAGCTCTTTTGTATTCCTATTTTCTCACATGATGCTAGGAAATTTTATAAATATACGTATTTTTTATATTATATGTGAATGATACGACTTGTCTGCCCATGAAGAGGTTAAATCCTATTTTAAAGGCCTATTCCCACACCCTAAAAATACTACTACTATATTTTTAATTTCTTAATTTTTTTTAAAGTGACTGGGTTGAACCTAAAACGATTACATTTACTTTCGACTAGAGGACCATAACTTTAATCTATGCCAACTACTAGTATTATGAGCAACGAAGAGAGAAAGGTAGGGATTCAAGAGTCTGATAAATGTTGTTGGCATTGTCGAGTATTTCTAATACTTCCATATTAAAACAAGTTTATATAAGATTTAATTTATTCTATGCAGAACATTAATATCTATGCACATTATAATTCTATATGAGGAACAGACTGATGAACGTAAAGAATATAGAAAAAAACAAAAAAGGAGAATAACAACCTGTCCTCCAACGGTAGACGGCGGGAACATTTCTAAGTCGACAACTCTGCCAGGATGAGCTATAGTTTGTTGACCCTCATCTCCCGTACAACAACAAAAACATCCGAATACTGTCTTCAAGATGTAGAAAACTGTTTTTGGCGATGGAATAATGTTGAAAGGAATTGGCAAAGTAGATTCGTCTTTAATATATTCCATATAAAGCTTACTTCGGGCAAATTTCCATTCTGTGTCGGCTTGGCCCTGTAAACATACATGTAGTCTTGGAATATTATTACATCTGTGTGCATATTCATTTTTTATTTTTGACGGCAAGAACAACTAAACCCACCTTTCTATATATCATGTGATTTAGCGAGTCTTTGGTTCATTGGCCTAGAGTGTTGTTACTTTTTTGTTTCGAACTAAAAATGGTTTGCAAGATTAGGGTTATAGGGGATGCCTGGGTCATTGAATTTGTCTTTTTCAAACTGTAGCATTAAAATTTTTCAAACAAGATGTAGCCGGGAAGCAGAGCGATTGACTTTTCTATAAGCTATAGTATCAAAAAAGGAGAAAAGAATGCATATGTCTGCTTATTTGCTCGGAATAACTGCTTGTCTATAATATAACACAAGTATCATCTCAGAGAATAAAGTAAATATAAGAATGGAAAAGGCAGAGTTAAGCAAACAAAATATAATTTAGTCTTAGCAATGTTGCATTCAATTTTTTTGTAAAAATGCTATGCCACCGCATTAATACAACACTAAATAGAAGAAGCAGAAGTATCGTTGTTGTTTCTACACAATTGAGCTTTGCCATACTGCAGTAGTGTCTAGAGAATTTTTAGGGTCTAGTTCATATTTCAGCATGCTTAATAAAAGTCAACGTGCAAATGTGTCTAATATTTAATAAGGCCATAGTGCAATCATTGATTCAAATAATAGTATTCTTACTTAACAAACAAGAACCGGTTGAACCGGGTGATGCTCCCCGAGAAGGTTCTGGACACAGGAAAGTATAAAAAAAAATGAACAAAGGGCAAAAACTCCAAAATTAGGCAAAGCGGAGTTATGTTTTTTTGCACTGCACTTCTATTCAATGAGATCTATCTATCTATAAAGTTTCCTGATGATATCAGAGTTATGTCCCAGGTAAAAGTCAAAGTGTAAAAATGAACAAAGGGCAATAACTCCAAAATTAGACCAGGCTTTGTTTAGGTTCTTTAAGCATAGCAGTTCTATCCAATTATATCTAGCTACCTACAAAGTTTCATGTTGATATCTCTAATAGTTTTAAAGAAATGTCCAGGTCAAAAGTCAAAAAGTAAAAATAAACAAAGGGCAATTACTTCAAAATAAGGCAAGGCAGAGTAATGATTCTTAAGCACTGCACTTCCACCCAATGAGACCTATCTGTCTACAAAGATTCATGTTGATATCTCTTATAAATTTAGAGTAATGTCCCAGACTAAGTTCAAAGTGTCAAAATGAACAAAGGGCAATAACTCCAAAAGTAGGCAAGAAAGTGTTACAGTTCTTGTGCACTGCAAACTTACTCAATGAGATCTATCTACCTACAAAGTTTTATGCTGATATCTCTTATACATTAAGAGTTCAAATGTAAAAATAAACAAAGGGGGATAATTCAAAAATTAAGCAAGACAGAGTTAAGGTTCTTGTTCACTGCACACCTACTCAATGAGATCTATCTACCTACAAAGTTTCATGTTGATACCTCTTATACTTTTAGAGTTATGTCCCGGACAAAGTTCAAAGTGTAAAATAAACAAAGGGGGATAATTCAAAAATTAAGCAAGGCAGAGTTACGGTTTTTGTGCACTGCACACCTACTCAATGAGATCTATCTACCTACAAAGTTTCATGTTGATACCTCTTATACTTTTAGAGTTATGTCCCGGACAAAGTTCAAAGTGTAAAATAAACAAAGGGGAATAATTCAAAAATCATGCAAGGCAGAGTTATGGTTCTTGTGCAATGCACACTTACTCAATGAGATCTATCTACCTACAAAGTTTCATGTTGATACCTCTTATACTTTTAGAGTTATGTCCCGGACAAAGTTCAAAGTGTAAAATAAACAAAGGAAGATAATTCAAAAATTAGGCAAGACAGAGTTACGGTTCTTGTGCACTGCACACCTACTCAATGAGATCTATCTACCTACAAAGTTTCATGTTGATACCTCTTATACTTTTAGAGTAATGTCCCGGACAAAGTTCAAAGTGTAAAATAAACAAAGGGGAATAATTCACAAATTAGGCAAGGCAGAGTTACGGTACTTGTGCACTGAACACCTACTCAATGAGATCTATCTACCTACAAAGTTTCATATTAATACCTCTTATACTTTTAGAGTTATGTCCCGGACAAAGTTCAAAGTGTAAAATAAACAAAGGGGGATAATTCAAAAATTAGGCAAGGCAGAGTTACGGTTCTTGTGCACTGCACACCTACTCAATGAGATCTATCTACCTACAAAGTTTTATGTTGATACCTCTTATACTTTTAGAGTTATGTCCCGGACAATGTTCAAAGTGTAAAATAAACAAAAGGGGGTAATTCAAAAATTAGGCAAGGCAGAGTTATGGTTCTTGTGCACTGCACACCTACTCAATGTGATCTATCTACCTACAAAGTTTCATGTTGATACCTCTTATACTTTTAGAGTTATGTCCCGGACAAAGTTCAAAGTGTAAAATAAACAAAGGGGGATAATTCAAAAATTAAGCAAGGCAGAGTTACGGTTCTTGTGCACTGTACACCTACTCAATGAGATCTATCTACCTACAAAGTTTCATGTTGATACCTCTTGTTGTTTCAAAGTTATGTCCCGGACAAGAAAATGGGACGGACGGACGGACGGACGGACGGAAAGACGGATGGACGGACGGACGGACAAGGCGGCGACTATATGCTCCCCCGAAATTTTTTCGGGGAGCATAAAAAATATGTAAAATATCTATACTCTAGGCCTTGTTGGTCTTTAGAAGAAGATTTTTTTCCTTATAATTCCTTTTGATTCCATGTTCAAAGTGAATATTATGTATAAATATTTTCTGAAAACATGTACCTTAACCTAACATCTATTACTTTGACCATTTGACTTAAAAACGGTGGTGGTAGGTACTAATCACCAAGTTTCAATTGCATTGTAAGTTTTGGACTAAATGAACCAAATCCTAATCAAAACTGTTAAAATTTGCCTTTGAAAAATAGAGCTTATATTACCTGAATAAGTTCGAACGACCTTGACATCATGGCAATCAGCATGTTAAGCAATACTATTACTGTACAGAAATTATAGGCTCCAAAAATCCAATAACCCACGGTCTCCGTGGTCTTATGACCAAAAGGTTCAACTTCAACCGCCGTCGGCTCCCCACGACCAAATAATGACCAGAAGACTGTCCGAAATGTTATGTGTGGTCTGAAAATGAATAGATCTAACTCGCTATTTGCCTTTTTCATTTTTTTCTATATGATATTCTGCTGCTTTATAAATTTGTTATAAAGATTTTGGATAATAGTGCAATAAACAAACGATTGTTGGAATATAATTCTTGCTAAATTGCTAATGTAAAAAAGGCTTGCAACCTTTTATACTGGGTCATATAACCTGTTAAATCTTTATTACATTTGTTTCCTTATACCCTTTCACAACGATCAAAAAGATAAAATTGCGGGGAGCACCAGTCCTGGCTTATACTTATAGGGCAGATAAGATAGCGCTAATTTAATTTGTAAGAAAGGCTTTGTAGAGTCATTTGATGAACATTCATTAGGACCCAGTCACACTACACTGCGTTTTCACAGAGTTTGCACCGCGTTGTTAATTTCAACAAAGCGCCGCGATGGGGCCATTTCGACTATAGGCAAAAGTGTCGGCAAATAATTGTATTATATGGGTGTAATGATATAATTTTTATCAAATATAATGATATTATGCTGTACTTACATGCCAAAATGTTCCTCGGCTGTAGTGGTTATATCATTTTGTACAAGTTCAACCTGATTTCTCACCTCTTTCGGGTAGTACCAATATAAATTGTGCAATCCGACCATAAACGCAACAAAAAATACAGAGAACACGGCCAAAAACTTCAAAAAGTCCTGAAAACAGTATGACTGAAGTTGTTTTCTTTCAAATATAGCGTTTAAACCTTTTTAAAGTTTCACGTCTTTCATCAAACACCATATTCCAGCCATATTTGACATGACTTGATAATACAAATAAAGTACAAATACAAATGTACCGGCAATGTGCAATGTACTTATAATTATTTGCCATATATATTATAAACAATGAAGAAACAAAATAGCACAAAAAAGCAAGCTTTGTAGTTACAGCAGAAGGAAAAACAAACAAAAAATGTATAGACCTTGAAACAATGGTGGTGGGTTGGGGGCCGGGTCTGAAACAATCCCAAGCGAAGTCTTCATAAAATGTTGCTATATCCTTAGTCTACTTATCAACATGAAACCAATTTTTATTGTAACACTGATCTTGACCTTGATCCTTGATGGGACTCAAAATCAATAAAAAATGAGGATTTCAAAGAGGAATGTTATACAACAGGTTTTATTAATTGTATCATAGTTTGGGGACCTTTCTGTTGAAAATGTGTCAGAGTTAAATCGTATACATATACATGCACAGTGCGTTAACTGGAGTGCAGGTATTAGTTACCCGCACTCCATAGCATGCCCATTGATTGCCTCATTTTTGCTGGGGTTTACTTATCGTGACGGCATAGGAAGGGAAAGCGACAGAAATATCATATTTAGATGCTTGTTCATTGGTTACTTTTCTCCGGGGTTTCATTCTGTGACAACAGGGAACGTGTTTTTATGTTTGACTATGATACAAAAGAGAAAGAACTTCAAAACACTCGGCAATCTGATTAATACTCGGGGGCTACTCCCCCTCGTACAAATCAGATAGCCTCGTGTTTCGATGCTTTTTCTATTACATATCCCACTCTTAATTCTTGTTATTGCCAGAGGGTATTTCTTTATTTTTTAGTAACAGTGATCCTGATCCTAGTGGACTTAAAAGCAATTCCAAGTGAGGTCATTACATAAGCTTGCTTTACGCCAAGTTTCATTGAATTCTCTAACTCCAAACTCAATTTATTTTTCTAATTTTTGTAATATGGCCCTAGAGGCTGCCGATTATTGCAAAAATGCTCTGAAAGCGGTTAACATTCTGACAGAAAACCAAGAAAACTCTCAGGTAACAGGTTAAAGTGTTATTTGTAATTCATAAACTATTAATGAATAAAAAAAAGGCAACCGATGCAAGTCATCTGATCGGTTGTGCCACTCACTCTTTAGTTCATAGACATAAAGTTGATATTTTATTTCCATTTATGTAAAATCGCACTGAATTGATGGACTCTGAAATTAAATTATGCTTATGAAAATATTTACAAATAAAAGTTTTAAAGCTTATGCTAATGTAACATAAAAAATTACATGAAAATATTAAGAATAACTCTATGTCTATAAATTCAACAGTAGTTGGCATACATACATACATACATAGGAAATTAAATGTGTTCATGTTAATTGCTCTATTTATAGTTGTCCTGTACCTGCGTGTCAATCAGAAGCCTTTCCGATGCACCAGCCCATTAATATATTTTCTGTCTTGTTAAAAATATTACAAATGATAGTTTAAAATTCAAAGTCTGAAATGGACAAAAGTACGATATGTATTGATATATTTATAAAACAATTGATCTTGATTTTCTGTCAGATTGTTAGCCACTTTAAAACGGTTTCTGGCATCATCGCTAGCCTTCGATATACTTTTCAGCCTACAAAGGCAGTATTTTCACTAAAATCGGGCAATTTTGGACGCATCCAACATTCTCAAGAAAAGAATTGGCATGCATGACCCTAAGGTATGATTGATTATCTGTATAACACAAAATCCATTTATTAACTTCAAATTTGAGATATTTTGAACAAAAATTAAATATTAAATGAATAAAAATAAAAAGTTCACGGTTTTTTTCAAAACTGTCATTTTAACCCGCCCAAAGCAGTCCTGAATTACCGTATAGTTTCTTAAGTCAATGGGCAGTAATTAAACAACAGTTTAGTTTAAACACAACATGAAATGACAGCGACATTTATATAACAAGAGCGTTTATAATCCGAGCACGATAAAGTTCTAACCACAGGTAAACATAGGTTCCTTCAGAGCTTAGTGCTCTACCGATGAGCTATTGCTACATTCAATCCCCACTTTTACAATTATTATTTTAAGTACAATCAGGACGCGCAACATTTCTTTACCTAAATTTCTGTTTATCGTGCTCTCGGATTATTGTGATCAAATATGTGTCGCCTGATGGTTGCAAAAAACAGAATCGTTACTAGGCAAAAACGCGTTATTTTGTTCAAGGGCCATAACTCAGACAAAATCATTCAACCGAAAAACCCGTTTTATATGCGCAAGAACTTAAGCTATATATATAAATCCAGTAATGTTTCATTGTAATTGCATAAGTGGTATAAGAGAAGTAGTCCGGACAAAGTTTAAAAATAAAAACTATTAAAGAGCCTAAAATCTGTCAAATTCATTGAACAGAAAACTGCCGACGAGACTAGGTCAACTAGACTAAGAACTGATCATTCCTGTAACGTTTCGATAAAATCAGTAGTTTCCGGACAAGTTTTTTCGACGGAACGGGAACAGACAAGACAGGCAGACTAACGACGGAGAAGTGTCACTACTCAGTAACTGGCCGGAACAACAAAACACACTAAACTAAGTTACCCAGGGCAGACGAATTAGACGACCTTGGGCATAAAACCAAACAGTTCTTCAGGTAATAATAAAAAGCGACCTATCATTGTGTATTAATACCACACAAGCCACTTTGTACTTTTTGAAAAATAAACTGGCCCTGACTCAACCTATATTAAATGAAGTATTCAACTGTGTTACAATGAATTATTTAAATTAAATTGCAATACCCAATCACGGTCTTTCATATGTAAGCTTTGCTATACACCAAATTTGAAAGTTTTGATTTACAAAATCCCACTTCCCCCAACTCTAGTTATTGTCCGGAAACCATTTTTCTATTCTTAGTAACGATGACCTTGAGCCCCAGGGGGTTCAAATGAAATACCAACCGGGGTCTTCATATAAGCAAGCTATACACCAAGTTTGATTATAAAATCTCATTCCTAACTCTAGATATTGTCCGGAAACCATTTTTCTATTCTTAGTAATGGTGACCTTGATCTTGACCCAAAGGGATCCAAATGCAATACCAATCGGGGTCTTCATATAAGCTTGCTATATACCAAAAACTGTGAAGTAAACACAAAATTGTCAACTAGCAAAAGGTCGATACAAAACGGTACTTTACGATTTGCTCTTTAAGATAAGTAAAAACTTTAGGAAAATGAAAATATAATTGTAAAAATAAACATCATTTTTTTCTCCATACCCACCTATACACCAAATTTAGGATGCATAATAGACAGATGAATTGACAATAAAGAGCATAATATTTTTAAGTTCGAAATTTAATGAATTGCCCGATAATGGCTACATTGATATTGATGTTAGTGATCCCTTTTTTAATATGTTTTTAACAGTAAGAAATATTTTAAACGGAAAAAAATAATGACCACTGCTATAAATAATTATTAATGCGTGCCTTGCATGTAAAATATGTACCGATGGTATGTAAAGGAAAGAAACATGTACCGCTTGTTATATAATTTGTTTGAGTCTTGCTTACGGTCATATCGGAGATCTGTTTCAGAAGATCTGTTTGTAGGCTAAAAGGTAAATAACAAAAGGGGCATGCTGGCTCTGGGTCAAGATCTGGATAAGGTCACAATTTTTATTTTTCAATGTTAAGTTAGCTATGAGATCACATCAGGTTGGTAATTTTCACGTAAGCTGCAAACGTTTGTAGACGCTTTATGGCAAGTATCTTAATTCTTGGCATAATGTGACTTAATCAAATGTATTTTATTCTGCAAATTTATATCAACTGACAACAGTAGCAAGAACCTATTTTGACCCTAGCGGCATGATTTATAGATCGGATCGACCGGCCGACGGACAGACTGACCTACTGACTGACCGACTGACTGACATGTGCAAACCAATATACCACCACTTCTTCAAATGGGGCATAATAATAATGTCATTCACATGTTTAGCCTTTATTTAACATATAAGAAAATAAATCCTAGTGCTGCATACTCACTGTTATCATCTGAGCTACAGATATCTGCATTGGTCCAAATAGCTCATGTGCAGGTAAAATATACGACAGCCGGCTGAAACTTATCACATTAGCAACGGCAAATATTGCCTCGGCAATATTGTGAGGGTCCCATGAGTCCCAGTATAGCCGATCTAAAATTACAATAAAACTCCTTTCGAATTATATGTCATGTGTTTTTAGGGTATGTTAAAAAATGTAATTTTACTACTCATTGTATTTTTAACACTTTAATTTTTTAAAAATATTGGTTTAAAATCAAAAAGGAAAATTTTGGTTTTAAAAAATTTAAAAGAAGATTATTTGGGATCTTTTTACAAAAAAAAAAAAATTTTTTTTTGCCTCAGTTTGCTTTAAAAAAAAATTAGGATTTAAAATTTTTGGGGAATTCCCACTGGAAATATTCAAAAAATTATTGGGTAATCTTTAGAAAGAACATTTATTTGAAAACATAACTGTAAAAATTTTTTCACAATATATTCTTTACAAAATGTATTGTTTTACACCACACTGTCAAGATCAAAGACAGACTCGTAGCTTATTTGGTAAAGGAAGACCATTTATGATTCTTTGAACACAACTACAAACACAAACGTGCAACCGAGTATAACTATAGGACTTCCTTGAACTAGCAAAATACTAGTTTCTACGTAAAAGCAGGAATTCTAGGCCGCGCGGTAGGATTTAAAACCGAAACAATTATTTTGATGTGATCTAAATTTCATATAATGTACCTGTATTTATTTGAGACAAATTGTTTACTTACAAACATATTATCGACTGGCAATATATAATATTTACCTGCTATGAGCCAATAAAACTCTTCTTCGGCTTGTGCGGTCATGTTTTGAAGTTTCTCCCAATTACTGTCAAGTTTGAAAAACTCCAAAGCGTGTTGTACCTTTAATTCATAAAATATATTTCTTTATTTTGAAACAATAGGCTACAGATCAACTGAGAAGTGAGGAATTTGCAGTTATTAAAAATGTGAATATTTTCTCACTTCCATGTGAAATGTAACGCATTTTCGTTATTTTATTCCTCATTAGTAAACAAAACCTGATATTTTATAGTTTTCATTGAGGCATAGTAAACAGACTAATAGACTAAAGAAGATGACACCATACGTTAAACGGCTATACAAGAATGCTGCGCAAACATAAGTATCATCAAAGTGATGTAACTATTTGACTCCGAGTGAAGTAATATTATACAAATATGGACTTTTTAGCTGTTGAATATGATGTGATATGTACTGAAAAAATTAATATCGCCTCGGTCAATATTAATTTTTCAGTACATATCACATCATATTCAACAGCTAAAAAGTACATATCTGTTTTATTATATAATTTATAAATAGTTTTTATATGGCTTATCACATCTGCCATTGCATACGACGGAAATCATTATTTTTCAGCTTGTCTACTGTTTCCATAATTTGGCCCCTTCTATTTGCATGCTAATCCCTAATGTTCTTAAAAATGAAAAATGTTAACTAAAATAGACTTGTTTGACTCTTATGTAGATCTACACCCCACTCAACGTTTTTTTTTTCACAAGTATAACAACAAACTTGGCGTGACGTCACGTCAAAGTCTCGCGTCTTTTAGGGATTTCCAGAAAATCTATTTTTAGAAGAAAAACTGGTGAATATACTCTGAAAATCTATTTTAGGGGAAAAAACAGTGAATATACTCTGATATTGACCTGTTATTTTTTACAAAAAGTTGCTTGTTAACCAATCAGGGAAAGGCATTTCAAAGCTATTTATAGATTATATAATAAATAGATATATTTAAATTAATATATTTAAATAGAGAAATAGTCCAAAACGCTGCAGTTTATACTTTGCATGTCTACGATTGGATATTATTCGGAGAAAGAACTTGACAGAATGGCGACCAATTCATGAACATCTATAACGCCCATCCGTATTTGTACAGGAAAGTGGGTTTGTTTGTTATTAAGACATTATTGTAATTATTCAATCATCAAGACAATGTTTTTGACATATTCGGTTTAATTATCTTTCTAGCTTCTGATTTGACAAAGATATTAAAGATATAAACAGGTCATGTTCACATTTAAGATTTTGCAAGTGGCTATTCTAGTCGGTGTTTCCATTCCTTTATTCAAATCTGTAAGTTTAGAAGTTCATAAAACAAGACAAAATAAGGTTTTTAATAATGTATACATGTTTTAAATTGCATGTTGTAAAATAAAGTTTCAATTGTTCAAGCGCAACTTGGTTGCTAACTATAACCTTTGAATCCATTTGTACTTTAAATAAACATTTTAAGAATAAGTTACCAACCGAAAATGCTTGAAGTACAAGTTAGCATCCGAAAATGTTCGAATTATAATTTAACAACTAAAATGCTTTAAGTACAAGTTAGCAAACAAATTGAAGATATTTTTATGTATGAAACTTTTTTCGGAATATGCAAATTGAAACAGCTATACAGAATTGACAAAACTGTAATATCAATATATAGGTGTGTAATAAACGTTGTGTAAAAAATGGAAATACTAAAATAAACCCACTAGCAAGGACCAAATACGAGCAAGCATTATATATTATTCCAACATCTTGTTGACATGTTTGACTAAAACATAAGCATTGATATCTTAAACTATGGTTTTTACTAATGTGCATGTTAAACATTAAACAAATATAATTATATGTTTTATAGTCAGAAGTGAAGATGTCCAAGTTTGTATAATGTTTATTAATTATGTGACATCAATTTGCTACTGTAAGGGTATATACCGGAAAAATATCAGGTGATGATGTTTCCGTAAGGTTTAAACATGTTGGAAAAATCATCTTGCATGGGATGTCTGGCCATAACAATTCAGCGTTTTAATTTACCCTGTCTAACACTGTTACGTCTAATTTTAACTGTCACTTATATGCACGGACAATTTTCAAGCAACACCATCGATAGATTATACTGATTTTTACAGAATTATTAGTTCTTTATAAAATTTATAGAACATAAAACGTAGTATTAATGTAGTAAAATAAGCGATTAATTAAAAAAAATATACTGCAAGCTATTTCTTCGGTACAGATATGACGTCCTATAAAATCATCAATTCCGTGAACAATGATAGTACCTACAAGTGTGTCTAGTTGGTAAGATTTAATTATACATTTTGACTTGTTCAATTATAAACATTGGCGAAATAAATGTATGCATTCATTTTTAACAGAATTAGTTTTTCATTAATAAGTACAAATTTGCCTAACCTTAAATGAAAATGTTGTGAATCCTTTTCGTATACTGTACACAACTATATAAGATTGCTTATTAAATTTTTTATAACTCAGCATTTATCAATTGGTGGTTTGCCTTTTCGTTTTATAAATCATGGCTGTTATGTTATCCTTGTATCAAAAACTGTGTGATTCTTGTAAGACTTTTGCAAATGCAACTCTTCTATTCAAAATTGAATTCATTCAAATTTCAATATAATAACTAATAACAATAAAGTTTAATGAAGAAAACAGTCTGGAAAACATGTCAAATTGTTCATTCTAACACAAATTGTAGTTTTAGTTTATTCATGTCTTGAATTCTGCTAACCGGTGCTAGGGGGCGTGGATGACAGCTTGCAAATATCACTAATTGAACAGGCTCAAACAAACCGATCCTGCAGCATTTTCAATATTGCCTCTTTTGGCGTTCTTTAGGGATTCTGTTTTTTCTGCACTTTTCTTTCATGTGCTTTAATCGACGATACGTAAGGATATTTGTTTTAAATAAAAAATAGGCTATCCGTAAGAATACAAATAGAGATTTTGATTTTAGCAACAAGTATATTTGAATTAATTATAATTTATTGAATTAAGCTGGAAGTAAGGATTGAAATGGACACAGAAGTGATATTTTTGAGTTAAGCTACATAAAGCATATTTCACTTAAGGAACAATTTTAAGTTATTAGTTAGCATATATTGCTTCAAGCATGCAATCTTTTATAATTACAAGCAAACGTATTTGTTACAAGTTACTAGTAAACGTTACCTTGATTAATGTCAGAAATCTAAGAGTAAAAGATGTAATGTAAAGAGTAAGGACGGCAAAGTCGAGATAATTGTAGAGGGCTTCAAAGTAATTGTATATTCCTTCAGAATATACCTGCTTCAGTTCCTGCCATAACATTCCTGCAATGATAAAAAAGAAATTGTCATCCAAAAATGTTAAAATGTTTCTATGTTGTATTCTAACAAACATAAAAATATTCCCCTATTGAAATGCCAGTTTGTAATTACACAATATGTGCACGGCATAAAATGGAAAGCTTACACACTACAGCCTTTGATCTCATAATTGAAGTCAATTAACCAAATAAAATAACGTTAATTTTAAGGAAAATACTTCTTAATTCAACGCTGTTCGACATATTTTTTAACTCCTATGTTAGACTTAAAATAGACAGTATTTTTTCATACGTCTTATCATAGACTAAGGATATTTGGTTTATCTTATGTAAAAACACATTCACCTACCAGCCTTCCGAAGTTCTGCGCATTATTCTTTAAAAACGCACACGAAATTGAAATTTATATTCCAGATTTTTAATGGTTACAGCAACTTTTACTATATGTTAAGCGAGCGATAAAATAAGAAACAGAATAATCATTAATAAAAAACAGTAAAGAAAAATTTAAAAACACAAAATGTTTTGTATTTGTGTTCTATAATTTCCTTGTATAAGCTGGGAAATCAAAAAAAACCTTTATATCATTTAGATGTTTCGAATCAATTGTCTGATCCCAATGCACTGCTTTGTCTTTTGTCTATAATCAAGGCCATGATACGAAACATAACTTTCAGAAAGGTGCTTTAAAACTTGAAATGTCCAAAAAATGGAAATTACTAAAGTAACGTGATAGATTAAGAGATTATATCATACTCATGAAAGAGTTGAGAAAAAAAGAAAAAAAAGATAAAAGTAAACAGTGGCGGAGCAGGGAGAAAAAAGAAAAGAAATGCATTAAGGTAAATTTAAGTACAGCATTAGAGGACCTATACAAAGTTTCCGTCCTAGAGAATATACACATAAAAGACAAAATTAATGCTGTGTTACTACTGACAAAGCTCTAGTAGAACAAAACAGTCTAATATAAAGTCTATTCAAAATTATGTAGATACTTTGGAAAAAGCATTGGATTGGTTAATTCTTAAAATATAGATCTATCGAACAGAAGAAACAGGAAAATACTATTTTGGCTAACCTCGGGTGTTACAAACTTACAGCAATACTAAGAGTCCATACACCTCAACTATTGGAGCTAAGGCATGCATAGACTTCAGTATATTGAACCAATTTAGTCGCCTCCTACGATCATGCAGGGTTAAACGAGAACTGCAATTCTGATGCATCAACCCGTTATGGCAACCCTTCAACCACAAAGAGCAAAACATATTGTAAATAATCCCGAAAATGGGAAAGAAAAAAACATTAACTTAAGGCCACAAAAATCCGATGTGGCATCACCGTTGGCAAAAAGACTTGAAATGAAATGAGCAGGTGCTTCGGAGATAAATGTTATGACATTTTACACAAATAGATAAAAAGATGTAAAGACAAATATATCTTCATTATATATAAAATTGAAAAATGGCACAAAGTTTGTAATCTATGTGAACATAGTGCCTTTTTTCAGTGGCATAATTTATAGAAACCTAATGTAGTAAGCTTTCACGAAACGAAAAACAGATTACGAATTCTGTTAATTTAGTGTATAAGGGCTTTAGGGCTTTATTTACTTAGTTCAAAATAAGGTTGTATATTGCGCGAGAACAAAGAAGGTGGTGATGTCAATCATGATGTCGATATGTTTATAATGACTTATTGCAATAACTTGTTTAAAAAAAACTTTCACAAGTGTCGTTAGCTCATTAACTATAAAGCCAAACTTTCTGGATTGTGGAGGCTATCGGAATTTCTGGCAATCCAGACATTTCAAATGATGATAAGACTATGCAGCATTGCAAAGACTCTTTAAAATATACTGAAGGCTTTCGTCATGGAAAGATTAAAGGACTGATTAAGAATGAAAATGTATGATTGTGTGATTAAAGATCAATGAAAAAAAAGAGATAGTTGAAAAAGTGAATGAAAATACCGCACAAACAAAGAATTGATAATATTTAACAATTTATTCATAACTATTATTTGATATTACATACATTTTGCTGTTTGTAAAATAACAGAACAGTTCGTCCTCAAAATCATTCGAACATTATGCAATTCGCACCAATATTTAAATGGACATATTCTCGGCGCAACGAAGATATTTTTCTTTACCCCTGTCTTTGTCTTGAACTTATTTTAAGTTTACCAAAGATTTGAATTTTACTTGTTATCCAATTTATTTTGCTTCGACCAGACCTTTCAATTTTTGTCGCAACATACAAACATTTCAGAATTTCAGACATGGCACTACTTTTAGCATTAATGCATTTGGTGCTACTTTTTTCACAAAATATGCAACTTAATAATTTAACAATGAGCACATACCAAGAACATGGAGAACAAATTTATTAGTGCTTCGGATATTCAACTGTAAGAGAGCGTACAGTTAACGATTTTCAAGAATACATGTGACTGTTCACATCATTAGGCGGCGTCTTTGATGTGCAGCATCAACATTTAACTTGTATTCTTATCAATTAGATCGCAGAAAGCGAACTGCAGTGAGTGCGTAATCTTGTGTGAAAAATTTGAAGAAAGAAAATAAGAAGGCACACTTTGCAAATCATTATTAAGCAGGCGCTTAAAAGAAGCTTACGTTGAGGCATTTTGCGTTTGAGATGGAAGAGAATTAAAATCTCTGATAACAGACGGCAAAATTGATTTATAGTAATAATCTGTATTTGTGTGTCGTTTCAGTTCCGGAGGGGGTACCGATGCTCGCCACCAACAGACGAAGGGACAAGGTCAGAGAGGTATTGAGGGGTAAGACTATTTTTCATTTTAAAGAAAAGAATAAGTTTATTTTTGTAACGCCCTTGTTCCAAGGATTCCCACCCAACTTCTTTCATGAGTTTAACAATAGACACAAGTTTAGTTGTTCCGGTAATTATTCTAGCTGCTTCTTGGTGAATTTGTTCAAGCTCTTTTTTATCATTTTGAGTGCAATTGTCAAATAGTACATCTCCATATTCTATAATCGGTCTAATAATAGATAAGTAAATGATTTGTAGTTCCTGTCGAGTTGAAAGTTTAGTTTTTATATTACATTTATTCTCTTCCAAGCTTTATTTTAATGTATTCAATATGTGTTGACCAGCGTAAATCATGAGTGAAAGTTATACCTAAGTGTTTGTGATTAGGTACTTCATTTATTTGTGTGTTTTGCAATATAATAGGAGGATGATTTATAAGTCTTTTTGTTTAACGCGATACAAATAATGATTCTGTTTGTAGGGGATTTAATTTTACCAACCACCTTTCAACCAAAGACGTTATCTTTTGCAAATATGTGTTTCGGATAGCAAAAGCAGTGATTGGATCTTCTATAACAATAAAAATATGTGTATCGTCAGCGAAAAGTATTATACTTGCATTGATATCGATAACAATATCATTCATATAAACCAGAAACAACAGTGCCCCAAGAATAGACCCTTGCGGCACACCGGCGTTTATATAACTTAAAGATGAAAAAACCCGAAGAGAACGACTCTCTGTCATCTATTCTTGAGATGAGAAGAAAACCAAGAAGAAAGGCAACCAGATATGCCGATAGAATTTAATTTAAAAATAATTCCTTTTTGCCAGACTCGATCAGACTCTATTTGCTTTACTTATATCACACAAGACTGTTCTGACCTCTTCATCAGAATCAATGCCCTTTAAGCACTTTGTCCTCAGCTGAGCTAATAAGCAACATAAGAGCATGTCAAGAGCATGTCAATGTTTGTATCCGGGATGTTATGCCATTTATTTTGTAACAATTTCAAAGATGTCTTCTGCAAAAGATATTTTTCATATTCAGTATGTATATCGGCAATCTCATCGTATTTATAACATCATCTCAAATACATATTCTAGAAAAGAACACAGAAAAATGAAAATAATTCCTTTCTAAGTTTACTTGATGTTGTGTATTTCCTGTAGCAATAAAATAGAGAAAAACAGAATCAACACAAAAAAATGTTGCACGCTCGGTTTGATTGAGCCTGTTCATGGACGGTACTGGAAAGTGCAAGTTACCGTCCACGCCCTTGACCGGCTTAAGCAGAATTCAACATTTAAACACGAAAAATGAATTTAGAAACATTTGCAGATGTTGCGGTTATCATGGAACCTTCAATGTGACACAGTGGAAAGCGATGTATGGCCACCAAGTAAATGAATGTGTGTGCCCTAAACGAAAAACAATGGGCGGGCGGAGCTACATTAAATGGGATTTTCAAAGAGGATCTGAGGTTATGACGCCTGTATATCACAGACAAGACGGCAGAAGACAATTTTAAAAATCAGGCAACATATCATAAGAGTGATTATTATACAGTATTCAAGAAGGAATACTGGGACCACCCAAGTTGAAAAAGGCCAAATAAAAGAAACTAAAAATACCACATAACATGTTGTTAAAGTAAATAGTAATTGATTAATTACTTGTGGAAAAAATAATTTAATTAATAACTTTTGCAAAATGAGTTACTTTATTACAAAATAAATTGAAGATTTTGGTATGGGATTGTAATTTAACTTAATATTTTATCAAGTAATTGGGGAAATTCCTGATTCAAGATGTATTTCAAAAATCAAACTGAAAAGAAAATCTTACCAATTATCCATATTGATAATATAATATTTATAGTCTGTGGTGTGAATGACCGCAGTTTGAAGTTAGGAGGCAGAGTCTGGTTTCCATGAAGAACATAAGGTGACCTGTTACGAAACACGCTGTTAAGAAAAAAAGAATCATCGTAAATACCATATGTAATTTATGATATTTATTCAATCAGTAATTTGGTAAATATAAACATTTAATATACCGTGTATATCAAGTAAGGCAGAAATGTGAAAAAACAACACGAACTGTGCTTAAGTAATGCCGAATCTGCACAAACTATCTGTGTAAACGGACCAACTATTTTGCAGTAAATTAAATTAAAAGAAAAGAATCAGCGTACACGGCTGTAATGACATTATCATTAAGTATACATTACATATATTCCCGAGAATATGTTTACTCGAACTCTTTAAGATCATATGTCACAATGACAACCTTGCTTTGGAGGCGACTTTCGTTTTTCTTCGATTATACAAGTAATAAGACAATATTGCATTTAAAACTTTATTGTTATGATATTCGATAGACCAGGGACATTTGCCATAATACTAGTGTCGAAATTGGAAGACATACGAATTCACCGCGTTAGAACGGCTATGTAAGTTTGTTACATGAACACAGTTCAAACTTCAAACAGACTTTCACTTTTTGGTTGTAAGTTCTAGATATAAAGATTAAAGAGCTTAGAATTTTTTAAAGGGACATATCTGTAGATGGCCTACTTTGAATAAGTTTCGATCTATATTTAGTTCTTAATCAATATTGAGCTAAAAACATATTTTGTGTATTTCTAATGAAGAGAGAATATCTGGATGACTATAGAAGTGTTATTATAAAATCATTTAATTCTGCCATTGTATTGTAATAGATATACTATTGTATGAAACCATAAATTTAACTTAAATAAGCTTGCCAGGTCGTCATTCTCACGAATGACCTTGAAATAAATGGAAAAAAAACGCTTTCAAATAACCTTGAAAATAAAAACTAGATATGTGTCAATAGGACACGGATACCCCCATACTCTACTGTTTTGTCAATCTATTGCCTCTAGGTTAAAATTTTTTGGGCTATACGCGCCACAATTTGAAAGTTGCAAATAGTTTACTAAGTCGAGGGAAAATAAATACTGACTAAATCCTCTTGCAATCCCCAAGGTGCATAACTACACATTCTGACCAGCTTTCTTGTAAATTTTTAGGACTTAAACAGGTCAAATTCGTTTTGAGCTATGAATGAACAAGTTGAAATTGCAAATTTATGCTAAGTCAAGGGAAATAACTGAAAAAGTCAACACACAAATCCACATGTGCACAACTTTACATTTTGATTAACATTCCTGTAAAGTCGGTTGATTCTAGCTAAAGCATTCAATGTACACATAATACAACATTTTGGAATGGTTCGTACTACGTCAAGGGCAGTTATTCTGCAAATTTTTAATAAATCCACAAGCAAATTCCTAGATACACAACTACACATAATGACCAACATGTCTGTAAAGTTTAATAACTTATATCAAATACTTTTTAGGGTACGCACGACACAAGTTTAGAAATGCAAAACTTACTAAGTCAAGATTAATAACTCGAATTTCTATTTTTAGTAACAATGACCTTGGCCACTTACACCTTGGTAGCAATCCCAAGCTGCCTCTCATACACCAAGGTTTGTGTCAATAGACCAAAGCAAAATCAAGTTATTTACCTGAAACTGAATATTATTTCAGTAACAGCGACATTGATCTTGTTAACAGACTCCTGGGTTGTAATCCAGAGCTGCCATTTGATATATGCTACCCATATACCAAGTTTGGTGTCAATAGGCCAAAGCAAAGTCAATTATTGAGCGGAAACTGAATTTCTATTTTAGTAACAGTGACCTTGACCTTGATCACAGACTCCTGGGTTGCAATTCTAAACTGCCGCTTAATATAAGCAACCTACACACCAAGTTTGGTGTCAATAGGTAAAAGCAAACTCGAGTTATTGAGCAGAAACTGAATTTTTATGTTTAGTAACAGTGACCTTGACCTTGATTACAGACACTTGGGTAGTAATTCAAAGTTGCCTTTTGATATAAGCTTTCCAAACACCAAGTTCGGTGTCAATAGGCCAAAGCAAAGTCAAGTTACTGAGCGGAAACTGAATTTCTATTTTTTTTAATAACAGTGACCTTGACTTTGATCACAACGCCTGGGAAGCAATCCAAAGGTGCCTCGTGATATAGGCTACCTATACACCAAGTTTGGTATAAATAGGCTAAAGCAAACTGAATTTCTATTTTTAGTAATAGTGACCTTAACCTTGATCACATACACCCGGGTAGCAATTCCAAGCTGCATACCAACACACCAAGTTTGGTGTCAATAGGCCAAAGCAAACTAAAGTTATTGAGCAGAAACCAAAAGTTAACCTGATTAAAAATAAAGGTTGTATAAGCAAATGTGTGAAAATCTACAACTGGCACCATTGACATTGATCTACTAACCCCTACCTAAATCCAAAGAAAATATTTTCATGCAAGTTATATAATTATCTTCCTACCAAATACGGAATACATCTGTCAATATAGACTATATGGGCAAAAGTGTACAAATGATTTATTGGCACTGGTGACCTTGACCTCAAAAGCAAGAATACGAGGCAAATGTTCTTCCTACCAAATATTAAATACATCTGTCAATAAATAAAGGCTGTATGAAATAAAGTGAAAACATGTATTTTAGCAATAGTAACCTTGACCCAACCGACCACTAACTCCATCCAAAGGAGAAGACCTCAAATTCATCTGTCCAAAGAATAAGAATAATACACCTGTAAAAGTGTAAAATAAAGATGCTAGAGTTATGAACATGTTTTTGTATGATTTGAGTAATGACAAAGAAAAACTATCTCAGTCTAGAGTAGATACCATTTCTAATAACAAAGATAATACATTGAGATATAACAATTTTCAAATAAAATCCAAATACAAAAATTAAATGGAGATAATTCGAGAAATACAGGAGCTAGCGAGGAATTAATAACAAACATATTTTGAAGTCAGAATTAAATCCCTTAAGAAAACAAGAGGGCCATGATGGCCCTAGATCGCTCACCTGACTCATCGAACTCATCCAAACAATTACCTAGACAAGCATTCTGACCAAGTTTCATGACAGATGAGTCAAAAATGTGACCACTAGAGTGTTAATAAGGATTATCCATATTTGAGCAGTGTGACCTTGTTTTTTACCCAGGTAAACTTGACCTAGAAATCATCAAAATAAACTTTCAGACTAATTTCCAGGATACTTGGATCAAAACAGTAGCCACTATAGTGTTAACAAGATTTTTCTATTTTTAGCTCCGGTGACCTACTTTTTCATGCGAGATGACCCATGTTCAAACTCATTTGAGCAATGACCAAGACAAGCATTCTGACCACGTTTGATGACAATTGAGTCAAAAATGTGACCACTAGAGTGTTAACAAGGTTTTTCCACATTTGAGCAGTGTGTTCTAGTTTTTGTCCCCAGGTGACCCATATTCGAACTTGACCTAGAAATCATCAAAGCAAACGTTCAGACCAATTTACAGGATATTTTGATCAAAACAGTAGCCACTAGAGTGTAAACAAGATTTTTCTATTTTTAGCTCCTGTAACCTAGTTTTTCATCCGAGACAATTCATGTTGGAACTCATCCGAGCTATCGCCTAGACAAGCATCCTGACCAAGTTTGATGATGATTGAGGCAAAATGTGACCGCTAGAGTGTTAACAACGTTTTTCTATTTTTAGCTCCTGTGACCTAGTTTTTAATCCGAGATGACCCATGTTCGAACTCATTTGAGCTATCACCTAGACAAACATCCTGACTAAGTTTGATGATGATTGAATCAAAAATGTGACCACTAGAGTGTTAACAATGTTTTCCTATTTTTAGCTCCGGTGACCTAGTTTTTCATCCGACATGACCCATGTTGGAACTCATCCGAGCTATCACAACTAGATAAGCATCCTGACAAAAATTGATGATAATTGAGGCAAAATTGTGACCGTTAGTGTTAACAAGGTTTTTCTATTTTTAGCTCCAGTGACCTAGTTTTTTATCCGAGATGACCCATGTTCGAACTCATCCGAGCTGTCAACTAGATAAGCATCCTGACAAAGTTTAATGATGATTGAGGCAAAAATGTAACCGCTAGAGTGTTAACGAACAAGTGTGGACGGACGACGGACATTCAACGATCCTAAAAGCTCACCCTAAGCAAGTTCAGGTAAGCTAAAAAGAAGCTACAGAATAATAAGGAAAAATCTGAGTTTAAGGGGAAGATAATTTGGAAAATATTGACGCTAGAGTTATGAAACTTTCATGTTATACATTTCATGTTATTATTAGATGGGAGTTGAGTTAATCTTTTGAACAATAAAAAAAGTTAGAGCAAAAACTAGAAATATGTCCATAGGACACTGGTACCCCCACAAAGTCAATTTAATGACTCTTGGTCAATTATTTTTGGCACAAGTTGAAAAAAAATATTTTACTAAATAAAGGGCAAGAACTTTACAAATACTAAATAAATCCACAAGCAAACCCCAATGTGCATAAGTACACCTGCTGACCAGCATTCGTGTAAGCTTTCAGGCCTACTGGTCAAATACTTTATGAGCTATGCATGAACAAGTTGAAAATTGCAAATTTATACTAATTCAAGGGCAATAACTCTAACAAAACTGAAGACAAACTACAAGCAAAACACTAGGTGCATAACTTCACATGCTGATCAACATTCCTGTAAAGTTTCATGACCCTGTGTGAACTACTTTTTGGGCTAGGTGTGACACAAGTTGAAAATTGAACTAGAAATGTGTCGTAACGCCACGGATGCCCCCCTCCCCCCGCATGCAGCCAAAATTTCAGATGTTATAATATTTTGGTCCAAATTTGTTTGCACAAATTATTTTTTTATTTTAAGTTCCAAGTCCTTGAAACTTTATTGTTAACACAAACCATTTTAAATACAAAGTTCAAGGCACTGAAAGTATTCAGTGTTAACCTTTTGTAAATTGCACATTGCATATTTGTAGCCAAAATAATAGTTACATACATTTCCACAAAAGTATGAATGGTGAAACTGAAAATTCAAATTTTTTCCAACATTCAAGAAAGATAACTTTGTCTAAAATCATTGAACCATGACCAAATTCAAACTTGAACTGCTTATTCCTAAGATGTATCTATATGTCAAGTGTACAACCAATAGGGGATATAATGAACGGATACTTAAATTTTTTTTTCGAAGTTCAAGAGGGATAACTCTGTCAGCTATCATCAAACCATGACCAAATTCGAAATTGACCAATGTATTCTCATGACATATCCATATCTTTAATTTGAGTTGAATATGTACAACTGTTGAGGAGATAATGAATGGGAACTGAAAATTTCCTTTTTTTCAAAGTTAAAGGGGCATTACTCTGCCAAAAATCATCGAACCATGACAAAATTTGAACTTGACCTGCGCATTCCTTTGACGTATCCATATGTCAAATTTGAGTTGAATGTGTAATACCCTAGAGGAGATAATGAACGGAAACTGAAAATTTTATATTATTTTCAAAGTGAAAGGGACATAACTCTGCCAAAAATCATCGATGCATGACCAAATTTGAACTTGACCTGCCCATTCCTTTGACATATCCATATATCAAATTTGTGTTGAATATGTAACACTGTTGGGATGATAATGAACAGAAACTGAAAATTTCATATTATTTTCAAAGTAAAAAGGGCATTACTCTGCAAAACATCATCGAACCATGACAAAATTCGAACTTTGCCTGCGCATTCCTTTGACGTATCCATATGTCAAGTTTGAGTTGAATGTGTAATACCGTTGGGGAGATAATGAACAAAAAACTGAAAATTTCATATTATTTTCAAAGTAAAAGGGGCATTACTCTGCCAAAAATCATTGAACCATGACCAAATTCAAACCTGACCTGTGTTTTTTCATGACATATCCAAATGCCAAATTTGAGTTGAATGTGTGCAACCGTTACTAAGATAATGAACGGAAACTGATGATGACGGAATGACAGAATGGACAGAATGACGGAAGGACGGATTGACGGAACAGGGTAACACTATATGCCCCAGCCATTATATAAGTCAAGAGCAATAACTCTGACAAAACATAATAGATCCACAAACGAAACCAAAGGTGTACAACTACACTTGCTTAACAACATTCCTGTAAAGTTTCATGACCCTTGGTCAAATCTTTTTGAGCTACGTGACACAAAATGAGAACGAACGGATGGACGGACGACAGATAACCGGACGAACAAGGGTAAATCTAAATGCCTCCCATAGTGTGTGCCCAATAAACAATTTAATGAAAAAAATACGGGGAAAAATTCTGAAAATGTTCACGCTAAAGTTATTATTCTTGTCACACATTATGTGGGTGAAAATGAGTAACAAACATTTGATGTTTGAAGTAGATACCTTAAGAAATGAAAAAGTTATAGCAAAAACATTTTAAGAAGTTAAAGTAAAAAACATCATTTTTTGACATGAATTTAAAGTTTTAAGGAGAAAAAAATCTGAAAAAAATGTGTGCTAGAGTTCTGAATCTTGTTATACATCATGTGGGTAACGATAAAGAACATTTATTTGAAGTTTAAAGTAGATACATGTACCTTAATGGAGAAGTTAAAGTTTTAAGCATTAAAATTCTAATTTCAAAAATATTCTAAAAATATTGATTTTAGAATTTGATACATAAGATTTGGTTGATGGTAAGGAACATATATTTGAAGTTTGAAGTTGATCCCTTCATTAATAAAGAAGTAAGAGTAAAAATAAATATCTTTTAAAGATAAATTCTAAGTTCAAGGGAAGAAAATACTACAAATATTGCTTCTAGAAAATTGAACCTTGCTTTTCAAGATGTTGTTGATAATAAGAAACCTATTCTAATTTAAGATTTTAAAAAATGAAAAAAAAGTTTTTGAATATTTTTCTGCACCAAAACTTTAAACGGAAATCTGGACGCAAAAGCGCACGCCGACATCGACGCCTGGGTTAGTAGGACAGCTCTCCATATACTTCGTATAGATGAACTTAAAGAGAAAAAAAGCTTACCCATAATGCTTGAATTGTTCAGTGAAGTTAGATAGAGAAGCGAGTCCAGACGGGTCTTCCATCATACTAGAGAAAAGTAACATGACTAGGAACACAACAAAGGACATCGTGTGTCCTATAAACTTAATGCACGGATAACGGAGAAAATGTCCGATCTGAAAGTAAAAAATAACAGTGTTATCTGCCTTGAATAATTATAACAAGAGCGATCAGTGATCACATGTGTCGCCTCATGATGGCCAATTTCATGTTGGGACAAGTTTTGTGACAGACGGACAGACAGACGGACAGTGCACAACTAGACTTGGTACTGATCATTCCTGTAAAGTTTGGATAAAATTGCTCCAGTAGTTTATGAGGAGTAGTCCGGACAAGCTTTTGTGTATCTGGAAACACAAAAAAACACCTTTTTATCAAAGGGCCATAACTCGACCAAAAACCATTCAACCGGAAAACCCGTGCAATATGCATAAGGACTTGAGCTACAGATCAATCCTGTAAAGTTTCATTGAAATTGCATTAGTGGTATAAGAGAATTAGTCCGGACAAACTTTAAAAATAAAAATTATCAAAGGGCCATAACTCTGACAAAAATCATTGAACCGGAAAATGCTGACAATATGCACAACTAGACTTGGTACTGATCATTCCTGTAAAGTTTGGATGAAATTGCACCAGTAGTTTATGAGGAGTAGTCCGGACGACAAGTTTTGTGACGGACAGACGGACAGACAGACAGACGGACAGACAGACAGACGACGGAGAAGTGATCCCTATATGTCGCCACTACTCCGTAGAGGCGACACAAAAATGAACTTGTCGGTTCAAGGGGGAATTAAAAAGTTGAAATTTGCATTCGTCAATACTCGCCATCCTAATTCTAAAAGATGTTTCTCTTTAAAACAAAAAATGTGCATCAAAAAGGCCTAGGCACAATTTAACCAATTACTTCATAAGCATTTTGTGAAAAATTGCTGTTTTCATTGAAAAGTCTCCCGTTACAAGTTCAAATTGCTATAATACTATAAAAACTGCTTCAATACTAATCAAACTTGGCACAAATGTTGACTGGACCATTGCCCTTGCAACAACATGCTCAGGCTTAAATTTTCTGTTACCATGGCAACGAGGGGACATCTCAAAATTGCCAAAAATCACTATTTTGCGTTGATTTTTTCCATCAAAATTGATTTCAAAGTGCTGCAACTTCTCAATGGATTGAGATAGAGTCAAATGCTTTTCAGCGTTGGTTACACGTTACTTTAAAATTAATCTGGTGTCATTATTAGCCTCTCACAAGTCCAAAACTTTCTTAGCGATGAGGTGGACTGTCGCCCCCCTTCAAACCCCGAAACAGAAGGGGCACATCCCCCTTCTGGCAACCCCCTGATGTATCTTTTGGTTGGGGGGCCGCGCCGAAAAAGTGGTCACATTTTTAACAACATTTCTCAAACAAAAACAAGTGTTATAAGTGTTATAAGGCATTTTTTTTTCACCATTTGAGACAACAAAAAAGGGGGGGGGGGTGAAAAAGGCGTTAAAAAGCGTGTATATCGCGTAATGGGTTAAGGAAAATGCCCTGTAATACTGTATAGAATTTGTTTCAAGCAATTCAGCCAATTTGAAGCTCTAAACATGCCAATAGCAAATGCTTACTGAAGAACTCAAGGAATTACCATCCTAATGCATTACCTTCACTCTGAAGAGTATTCAAATATTCTAGAACTACTGTTAAATATATTGAAACTTACTGTAAGACAGTAGGTTCCAACCCCAGAAGGGTCATTTTCCCCCTTTTTTTCGCTTAAAATTATTAATGTATCTCTCCTAATCCTTCTCGGAAGAAAAAAATGTTCAATTTTAATTATTTAATTTGTATAGGTATTTACTGGCTACATAATGCCATATCTAATTACAAATATTGTACCTGATGTTTTAAAAAAGTGCAATACAATCAAAACTAGACGGTAAAACTATTCAATATTTTACAAGATCAAGAGATATAATTTTTAGAAAATTTATTGAAACTTTGAAAACAGGCACTTATTTGGGTAAATTTTAGGGATTTTTAATAAGGCTCTCTAAGTAGGTAATTGTTCAAACGCGTGTTAAATATGGGTGGAGTAGGGAAACATTTTTACACATATTTTATAAGTAGTATGTGGATTGTTACCTGAATATTATATTTTGTTTCTTACAAAAAATAAAAGTAAAACATTTTTCATAAGGATTATATTGTATATTATTTCTGAAAACAGGCCCTTCTAACATCCAAGATAAAATTCAGAAAAGTGGTCATAACTCGATTTCCGTACGTTAAAGTTTGTTTAAATTTCGCATAAAGTTGTCCTTTAAGGTATATATCTGACATTCGTTGTCAATTTTAAAGTTCCTTATGGTGCCCGTTAGAATGGTTATACCTTAATAAACTAGACATTTCTTACAGTTGGTTTAAAATATAACTATTCTTACTTTATACAAATTTTGATGTTTTCACAGATCTTTCGTCAGTTTTAAACTTTGAAAAACACTAAAAGTGATTTTCTTAAAATCTTTTAAATTAAAGCATTATTTATTTCAGAAAGCATGAAATCATATACAATATTTATAACATCATAATATACAAAGTGCAAAAATTCCATTTCGTTTTCAAGAGAAAAAGATGTATATCGTATGATCCCCATAATAAGGTCAAATTATTATATAAAATCTTTGAACATCAACCAAGTATACTTTCAAGCGGCAAACGAAAAGCATTTTAAAGAAGTCATAGCAGCGATCTTATTTATCAGACCGGAACGGTTTTAGCAATTTCTGTAAAACATCTCATACTTATCATTCATGTACAGTTTTATTTAAACCTACCAAGCAGTTTAAAAAATATCATAAGACCGGTACCATTTGAGCAAGTTTGAGTATGTAAGGACTTCCTAATTATCCAGAAACGTAATGTCTACCTCTTTATCCAGTAAAACAGCCTGCCCAGGAACGATGCGGTGGTTGAACTGTACTCTGGTGAATTCAATCAGACTTACTGTCGTGATCCGGAGAGAAAACTACCAACACTACCACCACCACTATAAGAAGTCGCATATAACGAAAATCAATGTTCCCCCGGGGTGGACCAATTTTGACTCAATGGCTATAATTTTAATATTTTTTGTTGAGGTCCACAGACCTATGTTTCATGATAAATATAGTTAGATATATCCGTTGCAGATTTCATGAAAAAGATTTTTGGAGTATATAAAGAAAAGCCACGACACCCTGGGGCTAAAGGCCATTTTTGACCCAAGGGCTTAAATTTAAACACACTTAGTAGAGGTCTACTAAATAATCTTTCATGTTAAAAATCTTAGCTTAAGCTTTTTATAGTTTTAGTGATAGATTTAAATTTTTTCTATATACATATAAGGAAAATCTATGCCCCCGGGGGCGGAGCCAATTTTGACCTAAGGGCTATAATTTAAACAATTTCTGTAGAGGTCCATCAGACAATGTTCAAATTCTCTATAGTAAAATTATAAGGAAAATAAATGACCCAACAAAAGTTATAATTTGAATAATGTTAATAGAGGTTCACTATACAGTGTTTCATGCTAAATACCTGAGCTCCAGCACTTTTATTTTTGAAAAGAAAAAATAAGATTTTAATTTTTTTACTATATACATATAAGGAAAACACATTACCCCAGAGCGGAGCCAGCTTTAATTCGAACAATCTTGGTAGTGGTTCACCAGACAATGCAAAATATCTTTGCTCTGGGTCTTGTAGGTTTTAAAAGAAGATTCTTTAATTTTTTCTTAAAGTTGGTTCATTTTATTCTTTTGGTTGCCGTGGCAACCAGATTTCTGCATGAAATCAATGTTTTTGAACAACTTTGAAAGCCCTTTGAAAGCCCTTTATCAAGGGAACAATCCTGGCAAGTTGGGTTGAAATCGGACAAGTGGTTTTTAACAAGAAGGTTTTTTAAGTTCACTATATAATCTATAACACACACATATGCGCGCAAGCAAGCACACACACACACACACGCGCGCGCGCGCACGCACGCGCGCACACATGTGAATCGTTATATGCTCTCACATCACAGATGCTACGGTGGCAAAAAAAGATGAGTTGGTCCGTTAATTATTTTTGAGTCGCATGCTGCACAAAAGCTGATAAAGCTAAAATTAGTACATATCATTTCTTCGTTTTCGGTCTGTCCTTCTGTCTGTATGTCAGTTATTAAACTTGTCTGGACTATTCTGTAAAAACTACAGTACTGTTGTGATTTCATCTAAACTTTACAGGCATGATCGTTGTGCGTATCGTCAAAATTTCAATTTTAGGATTTTTTTTTTAGTTATGGCCCATATTTTTTTTTAAAATTTTGTCGGGACTACTTATCTTTTACTACTTAGTCTGCGTGAAACGTTTCAAGATTTATCGGTACCTCAAAGTGTTTTTGCATATTAAACTTGTTTTCCGATTGAATGCTTTGTTTGCTGAGTTAAAGCCCTTGAAAACCCAGAGCCATCGCCGGGTGGTGGCAACGCTAGGTTCTTTTTTTACTTTTTCTCAAATTAAACAAATAAACGGTTTAAACAAATATTTTTAAAATGAATATTAAAGACAAATAAATAAATGACAAAGTTAAAAAATATTATCAAAATTCAATCATCTAACTGACGGTCAATGTCATTAAATGGTCAAGGTCATATCTAAAAAAATTAACATGGCCGTTTGTTTTGTCCACATATGTATCAAATCCGTAAATAAATTAGGACAGTTTAACAAAAATTCAATAATTTGACTTCGACGGTCAATGTCATTGAAAGCTCAAGGTTAAGATCAGTTCAACCTTTCAGAAGATCTTGTCCAAAAGGTTGATTTGTCCAAGTATTGGGAAAATCCATTGATCAATTACGTAGTTACAGCCAATTATAGCAATAACAGTGAAAATGCAATAACTTGCATGAATAATGTCACACATGAATCAATGTCAATTTGTGTGTATTACACACCAAGGTCCTGGCATAAAAAATTAATCATTTTGTAAATAGCAAAGTTATAGCCAGTTACAGGAGAACAGAATCAAGAGAATTCCATTAATTTGACCTTGACGGTCAAGATCAATTAAAGTTCAAGGTCGCGCCTAAATTATTCAACATGTTGTTTGGTGGCAAGTTTTGTTTTGTCCAAGTTTAGATCAAATCCGTATGACTGTAAAAATCAAATAAAGGTATTATCCTTAAAAATGATTTGTCTTAATATAAAATCAATTCATTCAGTCATAACAAAATAATTATAGTCAGTTACAGCAAAAAGCACAAATTAAACAAAATTTAGGTCAAGTTTAGTGTGGTCTTCATAAAGGTCATCTCAAAAGGGTTGTTGTGGCCAACCATGAAGACAATACACGAAACAAAAAATGTTAAAGTTTGCGGACGGCAACGGTTATGCCGACATGACTATAACATACCTCTATTTTTTTCTTCAAAAAAAGGTCGCGCTAAAAACGCACTTTGGCCTGTTGGTGATTTTAAGCTTTGGCGACCATCTTGTTCAGCAGACGGGTATTTCTTACCAAATAGTTAAGGACCAGTAATTGTTTAAAGATTTTTTATCTATATTTAGCATTGTCAAATAACTATTTCGGTAAAGATTTATAAAAAAAACTAATGAGGACAACGTGTCATTTAATTCTTTTTTTTTTTTTATTACGGGCATCTTGTTCAATAGAACGGAACCATTTAAGTTATTTGTTTACAAGACTACTTATTGATCATTCATGTGTAATTACATCAAAATCTACTATACAGATAAGGAGGAAATAACGTTAAAACAAACTATTTTTAGCTTTGGTGCCATCATATTTAGCAGACCGGAACCAAATGAGCAATTTTTGAACAGACATTTCGAGGACCATTCCTGCATAAAACATGCCGTTAAAAGTTGTTTTTCTATTTACAGCTCTGGTTGCCATCTTGCTCAGCAGACAAGAACATTGTAAGTAATTTTGGTTATCATTTACCAAAAAGTAAAGGAGCAGGTTTTTAAAAAATTATTTTTTAGATCTTTTTAACATTTTACCTCATATAGACGTGTCTTGGCGACTTTTCACCCCCCCCCCCTTGAGGCCTCAAACAGTGACAAAATGTCCTATTTAGGCTCCAAAACACTGTTTTTCGTTTTAGAAATGTTGTTAAAAGAGTGATCACTTTTTCAGCCCCGATCTCCATCAAAAAGGTACATCAAGGGGTTGCCAGAAAGGGGATGTGCCCCCTTCTGTTTGGGGGGTTTGAAGGGTGGCGGCAGTCCCCCTTATCGCCAAATTTTTTTTGAACATGTGACAGGCTAAAAATCATCTCACGTCAATCTTAAAATAAAGTGTAAGCAACGATGAAAAGCCTTTAACTCTATCTCAATCCATTGAGAAGTTGCAGCACTTCGAAATCAGTTTTGATGGAAAAAAGAAAGGAAAAAAGTAATTTTCGCGATTTTGAGACGTCCCACCGTTGGCATGGTAACAGGAAATTAAAGAATGAACATGCTCTTATAGGGGCTATTCATTTTTCATAGTTTCAACTTATAACAGAAGACTTTACAATGAAAAAGGCCATTTTTTCACAATATGCTCATTCGGTAAAAGAATTAGCAGAACAGAACCAAAATGAGCAATATTTAAAGGTGACTATTTGAGGGTTATTCCCATATATTTTCATCGAAATCCATCTAACAGTTAAGGAGGAGATGCCGTTTGAATGTTTATTCATTGTTGAGCTCTAGTGACCATCTTGCTCAGCAGTCTTAAATAACATTAGCAACAACTGAAAAGGACTGCCATGAAATCATTTCCTTAAATGTTCAACAAAATGTATTGGGTGACTAAGGAAAATATGTCATTTAACACATTTCTAGTTTTAGCTCTGGTTGTTTCCAGACCGGCCGCATTTTTTCTTTTCTAAAGGACTTACTGATCATTCCTGTATAGATTTTCAAAATAGTTAAAAAGAAGATATCGTTTATAGGCTTTAGAGAATTTCTTGTAAAAGACATTTATTGATCATTCCTGTATAGTTTTAATAAAAGCTATCCAAAAGTTAAAGAAAAAAGAAAAAAAATCGTTTCAAGGTTTTTCCATTTTTGTCTCTGGCGGCTATTTTGCCCGGCAGACCGGAATCAAATTACTATTTTTTGAAGAAGACTATCCGAATATCATTCTTGATCCATCTTGATTCATCACTATGTGTAGAGGGGATTAGTAGGAAACATCTTTGAGTAAAATGTTATCAACAGGCGACGGACACCGGAAACAGGGGTAACATAATAGCTTAATTTGAGCACGTTGTGCTCAGCTAAGCTAAAAAGCTATTCTACATATTTTATTATCTTCCAACAACGATGTAAAGGTTTAAGCTATCCTATCTGAATATCTAAAACTAAACTTGTATTTACCTTTGACCTCGGTGCTAGAAGATATAAGATGCACATGAAAGGATAACCAAATGTGATGAAGAAAACCAACATTGAACGGAAGAACCAATTTGATCTCTCTAACGCCCGCAAATCCGAGTACCATATACTGACTAACTTCTGCTGACAACTTGAGTGAGCAACAAACTAAAATACAATAAAAAAGAATAGCTATTGGTAAACATTCAAGTTACGAAAGGGGCTATGTTGTCAGTTTTAGAGTTAAGGATATAACCATGTAGAAGCAAACCCAACACATGGATTACATTCATTTTGTTGTAGTAACAGCTATTCTGGTTTATATATGTTATGGCTCTACCTTCACATTATCTGATCATCCAAACACGACACTTCGTAGTATCAAAGATGTGTGTAACTGACCTTGGGCAATTACAATAACAAGTCTCACAAACCTAGGTTTATTCCTTTTCGAGTTATTCAGCCTAACTACTTAGCGTTATTTTCCCTATAAGGAAGAATGCCAGATTTCGAATAATTTTTCTTCATGCTTGTATAAGAAGACCCATTATTAATATCCTAGGTGTCTTCTTTTCTAAATTCTCTGTTTAAACGTTCTGCCAGCGGTACGCCGAAAATTGATGCCGTGGCGCCAGTTTGAAGATGATACAGAAGTTGATGCGTAAATTTTCATTAATCATTTTTAATGTTTCCATGATCCCATTAAAACGCCTTTGAAAGCTATCCTGTTTTTTTTGTACTTCTGATTTTATGTCACTTTGCTTCTTTACCATTTCTTCCAAACTTTAATAAGTACATAAATGAATGGTGTACCGAGAAGAGCTTTTCTAACACAACGATTTCGTTGTGTTGACTGTTGTAAGTTTTCCTTAGTATTTAAATATAAATTTTGTCACATACTTTTTGACATTTTACAAATGAAAACGAACAAAGGTTGAAAATATATTTCAAAATAGATTTTACAATGAATTAACTTCCAAACGTCTGAAATATTCAATTAAATCGAAAAATATTCAATTTCTGTAACATTTCAACGCCGGGTGTACGCAGTATCCAGAATCTAATTCACAATCAACGGAAAATACTGATGAGAAAGGGAAGAGTTGTGTCATGTCATTTTGAATATAAAAGTAGAAGTAAAGACAATTTCTTTGCAAAATAAATTAAATTCAATCTATTCTGGGTTTTTAAAGGGACTCCTTTTTGTTCAAAATACAAGTTGATAAAGTGTTCGCGGTACCAGAACTTTGATGATGCGCGCGCATCGTATGACCCCCTTGAATTCGTCAGCTGTTCAGGCACGAGCAAGCATCTTGATAGAACTACCTGGGCAGCCACGAGCAATCATCTGGATAGAACTTACAACAATTCGTCAAATGTCCAGCCACGAGCAAGCATCTGGATAGAATTTCCTACAATTCGTCAACTGTTCAGCCACGAGCAAGCATCTTGATAGAACTACCTGTCCAGGCACGAGCAAGCATCTGGATAGAACTACCGACAATTCGTCAACTGTCCAGCCATGAGCAAGCATCTTGATAGAACTAAATGTCCAGCCACGAGCAAAAATCTGGATAAAACTACCTGTTCAGTCACGAGCAAGCATCTACATAGAACTACCTGTTCAGCCACGAGCAAGCATCTTAATAGAACTACCTGTTCAGCCACGTGCAAGTATCTGTATAGAACTTTCGACAATTCGTCAACTGCCCAGTCACGAGCAAGCACCTTGATAGAACTACCTGATTAGCCACGAGCAAGTATCTGGATAGAACTACCGACCAATCGTCAACTGTCCAGGCACTTGGTTGTGTTGAATCTGCGGTCTCACTTACTCCCGGCAGAGGTCAGGACCACTCCGGGAAGTTACTGGGATGAACCGGGATGATCCGTGGTGAAATTGTTGTTGCGGTCACACTTACCCCGGCAGCACTACGGTAATTCCCAACTAACACCCAGGATGCACCCCGGACCATCCGGTTCATGCCGTTGCTTCCCCGGTCGTTCCCGGATGCCGCCTTCAGAGACCCGGTTGACCAAGGCAGAGCCCGGGTCGATCCAGGCGGAGCCCCGGCAGAGCTCAAAACGATCCCGGCAGAGCCCCGGTAGAACCCCGGTGGATTGAAAACACGCGAAAATGATGACGTTAATACATAATTTTCATTTAATATAATATCTATAATGAGATATGATATTTTCTCTTACTTAAAAAGTAATTCATGATGATTTTCTGAGTAATCCTTATTCAAAACTGGACATAAGGGAACGTTATGGTGTAACGGACCCATAAAGATGTAATAAAAAGCAATGTAAAATGAATACCAGCATACACTATAATCCGAGCGCGATAAACAGAACTTTCGTCAGTTCTGAATAATATAAGAACAGTTCATTAAATGATTAATGAAAACAAAGGTAAAATGAAAATGATTAACCAAACTATTACAGTTAAACATTATAGGCATTATATTTTATTGTATCATAGTTGATTGGCTCATTTTTGATGGGGTTTACTTATTGTGACGGCAGAGAAAGGGCATCATATTCAGATGCTCGTTAATTAGTTACTTTTTTTCATGGGTTTCAAATTGTGACAAAAGGAAACGTGTTTTTATGTTTGACTATGATACAAAAGAGGAAGAACATCAAAACACTCGGCAATCTGATGAATAATCGGGGGCTACGTCCCCTCGAACAAATCAAATAACCTCGTGTTTTGATGCTTTTTATATTACTGAGTTGTTATCTTCGTTTGACTCTATAGCACAGTAATTAAGAACGCTTATAAATATGAAAGTGAATTTAGTTTGTAGGTTCGAAACCTGGGGAAAACTGTTTCATTTTTGTGTCGCCTCTACGGAGTAGTGGCGACATATAGGGATCACTTCTCCGTCGTCTGTCTGTCCGTCTGTCTGTCCGTCTGTCCGTCACAAAACTTGTCCGGCCTACTTCTCATAAACTACTGGTGCAATTTCATCCAAACTTTACAGAAATGATCAGTACCAAGTCTAGTTGTGCATATTGTCAGCATTTTCCAATTCAATGAATTTTGGCAGAGTTATGGCCCTTTAATACTTTTTAATTTAAAAGTTTGTCCGGACTACTTCTCTTATACCACTAAAGCAATTTCAATAAAACTTCACAGGATTGATCTGTAGCTCAAGTCCTTGCGCATATTGCAAGGGTTTTCCGGTTGAATGATTTTTGGCCGAGTTATGGCCCTTTGATAAAAAGGTGTATTTTTCTGTGTGTTGCCAGATACACAAAAGCTTGTCCGGACTACTCCTCATAAACTACTGGTGCAATTTCATCTAAACTTTACAGGAATGATCAGTACCAAGGGTAGTTTTGCATATTATCAGCATTTTCCGGTTCAATGATTTTTGTCAGAGTTATGGCCCTTTAATAATTTTTACTTTTAAAGTTTGTCCGGACTACTTCTCTTATACCACTAAAGCAATTTCAATGAAACTTTACAGGATTGATCTGTAGCTCAAGTCATTGCGCATTTTGCACGGGTTTTCCGGTTGAATGATTTTTGGCCGAGTTATGGCCCTTTGATAAAAAGGTGTTTTTTCTGTGTGTTGCCAGATACGCAAAAGCTTGTTTGGACTACTCCTCATAAACTACTGGTACAATTTTATCAAAACTTTACAGGAATGATCAGTACCAAGTCTAGTTGTGCACTGTCCGTCTGTCTGTCCGTCTGTCACAAACTTTGTCCCAACATGAAATTGGCCATCATGAGGCGACACATGTGATTACTGATCGCTCTTGTTTTATTCAGGTTTTAATTCTTTATTACATTACTTTATGCCCCAAAATAAATACTAGTATATGATTACATATATGAACTTAAAGATATTGTATTTTTGTCATGCTAAAATATGTAAAAACATATTCATACATTTATTGTAAGAAATGGAAAAATGAGATAGGGGCGTAAATGAGATAATGATAATACTTTTTAAAAGTAACATAAATAAAAGAAAGCAGTCATAGAAAAAAAAATCATAACTATAAAGTTTCTTACATGATTTATACTGGAGGAAAGAAACAACAACAAAATCTATATTTTAGTCCGTTAGTCTTCTGTCATGAAGTAGGTTTCTTCTAAGCTTAGTGCTCTACCGTTTTAGCTATTGCGACATTTAATACTCATTTTTATATTTATTACTTAAACATACAATCAATCCGGACATGCAACATATTATTTACCTATATAGTATTAAAATGGACTGTTCCGTACTGTAATTAAACATGAACATGAAGAAAAAAATTAGTTTAAAGTAACTTATAATCAAAAAATAAAGAATTGTAGTCTACAAAATTAATAAAGTCTTTTATAATTCATCCATCCTGGTTACTTGTAAAAACTTATACATCAAGTTTCTTTTATTAATATTTTCCAATTATTCTTAACTTTGTCAATGCATGATTGAAAAATCTTTAATAGAATGCCCTTCAGAATCAAAATGTTCAGATACATTGGTAATAGTGGCAGGAAAGTGTTTATTATTAAATTTCTATTTATTCTTTGGCTACATTTTTGCTGAGTTTGACCAACATATTGTTGTTGTTTTTGTACATTTTAAACAAGTTATAAGGTAAATGACCTCTGAAGATATACATGAAAGATCACGTTTTATAAGAAATTCTTTAGGTATAGTTGTATTTGAAAAATTATAAGATTCATCAATAATACTACAGTGAGTACAGCGACGTCGACAGCATTTACATTCTGTACCAATCATGGATTTGGCATTTATATGAGAATGAACTAGACTGTCTTGTAAATTTCTTGGTCTCTTATCCCCATCCATAAGTTTGTATTTGTATAATTTGCGTACACATTTATTTGGGGAGCTCCAATATTGGTTAATTATTTTCCTTTTATTAGGTAAAGATGGTTATACGATATGAATGTACAAACAAAGGGGATAATATTGTCATGTTCTCCTGATTTGTCTTTTAAAGTGTCAAGGTAATTCAAACCTTGTCAATGTTTTTTTCTGATGTTCTAGTTTTTTTAACTCTTTTAGACTGATCTGTCTTAATTTATTAGAAAATTAAGCATTTTAAGGCTAAGTATGAAAATTAAAACTAGCGCAAGAGTATAATAAGTGCATAATTTAAGAGAATCATGATTGATGAATAAAATTTAGGAGGTCACCATCCTACTCACTGACTTATCTACCTCTAAATGCAATCCTTTTATCTTATTGACATCTTGTCTGACTGACATTAAGACACATGTTACCAGATATAGTGATAAAGTCCAAAAATATTGTTTGATCGATTAAAAGAAAAAAGTGTTACTTTCCTTGAATGTAAATCTCAAAAACTGTATTCTAAATCATTGCACTAAGTGGACCTGTGATAAGCGTTGATCACTCAAGTTCCTGCTAGACAATATTTATCTCAGATTTGGAGATGCCCTTTCCAAACAGAAAAAAGGCTGTCGTTTTGTTTGTATTGCTATGAAAGAAACATTATGTTAAGCCTCAACAAATGTATAGTAAAATTATAACACTATTTCGATGATATTTTTAATTAAGATTATACTCATTTCGCTCAAATTGTATCTAAAATTTAAAACTTCAACTGAATAAAAGTAATTTTTGTAATTTAATTATTACAGTCAATAACAATGCTGTTCAGAAAAAAAATCTTTAACAATAAGAAGGCCATCATTGCCCTGTATCGCTCAACAGAAACAACTGTTTTTCAGTGTTAGAAAAAAATTCAAATGAACTAATCGGTTAATCTAATCCAGCAGTTCAACTTCAACTATATAGTTCCACGACACTGATTGCTAATTTTCTTCATAATAAATAAGGAAGCTTTCGCAAATGGCCCATGTTCATTGTTACCGTACATCTGGCAAGCAAAGCATGTCAACTCACGCTTTTTAATTTCATTTTCATACTGGAGCCTTTTAGACTTCCTATTTAAAACTACCTTAGAGTGCTTTAGACAAAGTTTGGTGATTATACATCAATGAGTTCATAAGAAAAGTTTTTTTTCCTTCTTTTTTTACATCTAGAGGCATCTAAAAGCGGTCAATTAAATTAATATGAGCAAATTTGATAAAGGACTACCTAAGAATGCTACAGACGAAGTTTGGTGACCATCCATCAATCAAATCAGCAGAAGATTATGTTAGTTTTTCTCTAATTAAGCTTTAGCGGCCCATAAAAGGTGCCAATCAAATTAATATGAGCAAATTTGATAAAAAGACTACCTGAGAAATTTAAGTTTGAATGTCACGAGGATGCTACAGACCAAATTTGAAGTAAATTTGCCCAGTGGTTTTCGGAGAAGAAGATGAATGTTAACGCATGACTACGGACGACGGACGCCGGAGCATCCCTGTTTGATAATAAAAGCTAACCCAGAACCTTCGGTTCTGGAGAGCTAAAAACTGACTACTATGATTAAGTTGTAGGAAATTATCCTCATTTAAATGGAGATTGCAAATGTATGCCATGTAAACGATTTTACGAATGTATTAATTCCATTACAAGCAGCCTTTTTAAACACGGCAACCGCTATCATGGACTACGGAAATAGCTTTACAAAATTTTATATTCCTTATTTTGATTTAGTTTAAAAATTCATAAGCCATTTGAAAACACTCTTGTGGCTAGGATTAACATGCATAATTTCTCTAGAGATGTAATCTACAAACTTCGTAAAATGTTTGGTCATGCTATTTTTCCAATGTCTTTTCTAAAAATATTAAACTTTTGTTTTAAGATTTTATGACCCTACCATTGTAACGCATACCGCATGCTTAGTAATTAGCCCCTTAACAGTTGGACACGCTTTCTTCTTTGCTTACAACTGTCAAGCAAAGTGAGAGACTAAATGGTGGACAGTTCTTTACACTCAATTAGACTGATTTGCTTCTCCCTTGCTTCTTTGAGCCGTTGTAGGTGATTTTCTTGCTGCTCTGTCTTCATTTAGGGCATCGGGTACTTTTGTTATTGTCACTAGAAAATCTTTTTATGTATCATGATGTATCTATGTGATCATTTCCGTGTTTTACTTATTTCACCTTTTGTAACCATAACAAACTCTTCCAATTTCGCTTGGCGTTAATTCATTTTGTTTACACTGTCTTGTTTAACTGCAACATGCTGGGGTTAAGACAGAGTAAGGTTAAATGTTCTATTGACCTGTTTTAACTCTGTAGAAGTGCTTCTGCTGCTAACATTTTCAAGGCGACGCCCCTTTGTGTTACTACAATGAATGTTTTGTTCATTGTTCTCCTTGTTCATTGTTTGGACACTCCCATCTTGTTTTAATGTCAACGGCAAGTGTCCCGTTTCCTTTTTCTTTCCAAATTTTGCCCAACCATACTGTTTCAGTCCCGTTCCCCTATATCATAATTTCTGGCCCCTTCATCCTTAATACAGTGTAAGCTTTTTATTGTTTATCTTCATTAAAGTTTTAATTGGTTTTCTATTATTTATTTTATTGAATGACTCGCCCATGCTTCACATTGTGCCTTCACCCGTTCTCTTCCTTGGTTCCTTGCTGGTGGTCTTGTGGTGCTGAATTTTGTTGGGATTTAATTAATTGAATATCGCCCTTCCCTTTTAATTGTTGCTCTCATAATTTTGCAGTGTGCTTTTTTTATGTCCAGGACTCAAATACAAGCGTACCGTTTCTGTTTTATTTCAAAATATTTTTTGTTAGATCTACTTCATTTTCAGTCATCTTGCAAAGTTTGCAAAGTTAAAGACAATTCTATCTGAAATATATATTTACGTACTGCTGTTTACTATATTCAGGGCCATAGCTCGAGGAAAAATTCGCATATGCACCTGTAGAATAAATTTTGTCGATATAATTTCAGCAAAAGTTGCATCATGTCCAGGAATAAACTAACAAGTCAAAATTTAAGTCAAATAATGTATCGATTGGCAAAATTTTGCGTCACCTCCCCTTGAATTAAAGAGCAAACAAAACACCATCAAAGGCAAGTATGATTGTGAACCCTTTTTTGACATCAATTTTAATCAATCTTGATTCTCTTATGGTGACAACCGACACTTTCTGTGGTATTACCATAAATGTCATTTAAACCCACTTATTATAGTAGAAATTGTTATTTATTTAACTCTTGTGCATTAAATGTCTTTGATCTTCATAGAAAATAACATATTTAAAAAATGCCTTTGTAAATAATAAATTTTGAACAAAAATCCTATTATTTCAAATCGTCCTATCAAAGTCATTTTTTTAAATTTTTGTCATCAAACGTTTGCAAAATAAACATAATCATAATATCTAGGGAACCGTGTCTCAAATTTTTCTATCTTTTCTCAAAAAAAAAATTACGTAACGTTAAACATTTTATGAGACTTTTTTTTCCATACATATTACTTAATTAAAGATAATTTAGCCAATTAAAGATAATTTAGTCACTGATTGAGCTAACAAAAATCCCTGACACGGTTCTCTCCGTAAATGAATTTCCTTTCATGTGCTTTAAACCGCATGTAAATTGCTTGATTATTAAAAACGTTATGCCGATTTAAAGTTAATCCGACCCGCATCAAACGAAGTGTCATAAATCGACTGTTCTCTCTCAGATTCCTGCGTTTCACAAAAGATTATTGCAAAACACGCAAATATCGCACCAAAGGGGGTCACAGGTTGCGGTAACATACTCTAACAACTTTTTATGACCCTGTGACATCTGACCAATTAAAAATCTGCTGATTAAAATCATTTTATAGCAGAAATTTCTTCAAATCTTAACTTGATATACTGTCCGTCTGGTATCTGTCTCAGATGTCACGTGACTATTGGTAAAATCTGAGGCACTCTGTGGGGGGAAATAGAAATGCACTGAAAACGTGCGACCGCCAGCGGGATAATTTATTGTTTCACTTTCGAAGTTTATATATTATCATCATCATCATTATATTCATATCAGTGTCCCGCTGCTGTATATTCGTGTATGAATATCCGTTAGATATTAATTAAAATTAATCAATTGAAAATAAAATTAGGATTAAAATAACGAAAATTCCTGATAATTGACGAGGTTTACACCGAATGATAGGTTTTACGTTTTAAAACGTTTAAAACACATTTTCTCTGGCTGCTTCAAATTAATCATAACGGGTGTTCAGATAAATGTTTAAGTCTACTTAGCGGAAGAGAGAATCATCACTTTGAGTGGTGATTTTCGAGGGTGTAATTGACCTGCATGTCACCCTAAATGCATGCAAAAATGATGAAAATTCTCAGAGTTTTTATTTTCCTGCTCTTACCAAAAATTACGTATATATCTAGCTCCAACTTGCCAGGCTCGGCAAAAACTGGTAGTATTGTTTAGGAACACTCTAACCCCTTAAATACAACAGAGCAATACAACAAACCGTTTTTGGCCAGAAATTTTAAATGGTGGATAAATTTACCCTTTTTCTCGCTATACTGGATAGCTAGTTTAAGTCTGGCAAGTCTCTCGTACGTTTCAATCTCGCTGTCCCGACCTGTCTTGTTAATCAGGATCTCAAGTTCATCATGACCCCTTACCTTGTCTAACAGCTTCACAACATACACGCTAAGCTGGTCGGCGAGCTCCAAATACTCTGTCTAAATATGCAAACAGACATCACATTAATAAGATATAAAACAGTAAGTGTTGAAATAGTTTTAATTTCTTTTCATTGTATAGACGGTAATTATTGTGTTGTATAATAGTACGACCATATGTAATACAAGCTACTAAACAAGGAGGTACATTTAGGATTTTCTATAAATCTGTGGAAGTAAAGGTTTCGTAGCTTGCTTTAGAGACTCTTCAGGAAATGCGAAATATGGCAGAGTGTGTGCTAAACAGGGTCGGGTTGTAGTTTCCTCTTTGGGCTTGCGGCCAGCAGCCGCAAGCCATTTGGAAAGTTGTTCCGGTTAGGTCGGTTATCCTGCTTACATGTGTATTAGTGCATGATGGAACGGGAATCCAGTCTAGGTTTCCGTTGCAATCGTGACAATTCGGGCGATTCCGTCATACTGCGGAATCAGACGAAGTAATATTACGGAAATCTAAGCTATTTTTAGTTACTTCGGTAATCCTAGTTTGGTTCCTATTTTGTTTAAAGCAAGAAATAAATTATAAACGAAAATGTTCTGTTTCAATTGAGTTATATTTAGATCTACTGTGTCTTATATTTAAACGCAATTCTAACGTGGAGTTAAAACTACAGTATCATGTAATCTAAAAATAGCCCATGCATATCATACCACGTGCTGATCTACAGATAACGCATCCTGTGAGACATAGATATTTAAGGTGTAACATACTTGATACATGAATATGAATTGGTACCACGTAACGAAGTCTTTTAGTGCATTTACTTGTCTATTTAAATGAAATTAGCAACTGCCAAAATGATTGACTCTTTCTGCGAAAAAAAAGTTGAAATGAAATGTGCACAGTTGTTTCCATTCATTATGATACATAGATACTTTTATTTCCTCCACGTGGGACAGCCAAAGTTATTATTTTTACGATTAATTATTTTTCTTTATTAGTTTTATACAATGGAGAATAGATTTCAAATCTTTTTTGGTCCTTCTTTTGTCCAAATTTCCATGCATAACACTGGTGGCACAAATGGGCACAGGTCAAGTCTTGGGGTTACCCTACCTACCCCTTTGAAAACCAAATTTGTCTTCTTGTTTATGTGTTGGAATGATTGTCATTTACAATCATACTTTGTTCCCTTTATATAAAACAATCTCTATTGCGCTAAAAATATGCCCATTTCGCGGCTATATTTTTTGTTTGTCTGTTTTTGTTCGGTTGTTGTTTTTGTTTTTTAATTGCGCATGCGCGCGCGTATGTGCGTATGTGTGTGTGTTTGTGCGTGCGTGCGTGCGTGCGTGTGTGCGTGTGTGTGTGTGTGTGTGTGTGATCATTAAATCACATGAATAAATGATCAATTCAATTTTATTTCGCCATTAAAATGTTTTATTTGACACATCTCTTGTTGAATAGTACTTGTATATCTTGCTTAACTTGGACCGTATTTGTCTAGAAAATAGTATTGTAAGCAGAATTCGCGATGCCGAAAGAAAAACAACAACAGGAGCCGGTGAGTTAATGTTATTCAACGATTTAAAATGTTAACATAAAATCCAAGAAATAGATAATATTTGACTTTAACTTTAAACTATAAGTTGTAAGAATCGTACTTTTATAGTCATAAGAGCCACCACCGGGCGGGCCAAAGCGCCACTTTTTCTAAAAGCAAACAAATCAAATGTTTAATCATATCTTTATAGGAAATAAAAGAAAAGAAAACAAGAACGTGTTTGGTAAACACAAATGCCCCTGGTGCAGATACGTGTAACAATTTTCAAAGTTTACTCATTCATATAGTTATGAACAGAAAAATTGCACAGAAATTGTAAACGCTGTCATGACGTTTTTGTTACAATGAAAAATATAAGATGGTATGCCATTGCTATTTGATAAAGTTGAACAATATTCGACTTCATCAATAAAAATCTATCAAATATATATAAATGCATGACCTTGAACTTGAATCCAGTGAACCCTAATTCCATTCATACTTAAAGGACCAACAGAGGTATGTTCCTACTGTTATGACAAATTGGTAAAGACATTCAAAGGCTGTATAAGAAAACGTTTAAAAAAAGCCATTGTTAGAATATATGACCCTGAACTTGTGACTCCTTCCAAGGTATGTTCCCTCCAAATATGAAAAATATTATCAATAGATAAAGGTTGTTAGATGAAGCAAATTGATAAAGAAAAAGTTTATAAATCTTTTTATGGCTCCATTGACCTAGACCCACTGACCCCAAAATCAATCCAAAGGATATGCAAGTTATCTTCCTACCAAATATGAAAAAACATCTGTAAATAAATAAAGGCTCTATGGGCAAAAGTGTAAAAATCTGTTTTTAGCACTGGTGACCATGACCTAACTGACCCCTGATTCCTTTTAAAGGTAGAAGACTTCTCAATTTATGTTCCTACCATATATAAAATACATCTGTCAAAAGAAAATAATGTTACACATGTAAAAATTCAAAAACATTTTTTGGCATTAGTGACCTTAGCCTTGACCCCAAATGACCCCAAACTAAAGTTAAAGGAAGGGTATTTCTCCAACCATTTTAGTATTAAACATGAAATACATCAACTTAAAATAAAAAGCTGTATGAACATAAATGTATATATTTATTTTTTTACACCAGTGACATAGACCTTGAGCCAAGTGACCCCTTATACTCCACAAACGAACCACTGAAGGTATCTACCTACCAAATATGGAAGATATCTTACAATAAATAAAGTAATTAGGAGAAAATTAATATAAATCCAACTTCCATATTCATACCCATATTCTTAGTGCTAAATAGGGCAATAACTTTGGGGAAAATGGGAGCAATAGTAATGTTACTTGCCGAGATAATGTAGTATGTATTGATTAGTGTGTCAATTTAAATGCCATCGGTACAGGTAGAATTTAAGAAAAATCCCACTAGCCGTTTTATGTTTACCTCGTGCAGACAAATGGACACATGGTTCAATATATGTTAATAAACAGTTTTTCCTTTTTTTAAATTTTTATATGTTAAGTTAAATTTGTTGTTTTGTCAATGTATGATTTTTTCCATAAATAAATAACACAGTTAACAAAATTTAAGCAAAATATTCAATCATTTGGTTATTCAAAGGTCATGGTCATATCTAAATTATTCAACAGGTCCGTCTGGTCACAAGTGTTTTTTTGTAAATATGTGCATAAATAACAAAACTTTGACAACTTAACCAAAATTCAATAATTTCACGATTAATGTAATCTAAAGCTCTCCAATCTTTTGGAAGGATTTGTCTAAAAGGTTGTTTTGTTCAAGTATGAAGATAAGTAAAAACTCATTAAACCGGACAAATGTTCATTAAATAATTACAAAATTACAGCAAATTATTAATTATAGTTTTAAAAAATGACTTCTAAAGAAGAAAATTTCATTTCATGTAAATATATTTTTCTCTCCTTTGATCTACTTAGGAGGTTATGTTGATAAAAGAAATTGTGGATGATGACGGACGACAGAAGAATAACGATGGACATAATGCAACCACCAAGGTGTTGGTGGTGTTTGTCCGGATCACGGCAGTAAACCACATTGAATTTACCAGAGCACAGTTCAGCCACCTGGGTTGGCTGTCAAGCAATTTACTAGGACTAGTTGCCTTCACTTTCGCAAAGATCTGATTACTTCTGTACATGCCACAGCAAAGGTATAGTTTGAATGACCGTAGAAAGGATTTCATAATCAATCACAACGAAAGAGTGTACGGCGCCGTCCGGATTCGAAACCGGGTCGCCCTCAATCACAGTCCAACGCTCTACCTTTTGAGCTACCCGGACGGGTTTTTAAAGTTTATCTTTGTGTACTCAGATGAGCTAAACATTTCACTAAAAAGCAAAGAAAGGGGCTTATTCTCTCGAAAATAAATTAGTTGCAAAGGAAATCATACTAAACCTGTGATTTGTCATAACACACTAGCATGCTACACATAATTATTGAAATCTTTCATAAATTATTTTTGTGGAAATCAATATCTTTCTTTTATTTTAAATAATATTTGCCTAAAAAGGAGCATTACTCTATCATTAATATGTTAATTACCGCCAAAGCAAAGTAATCTTTTGTGTTTATATAGGAAGCATGCTTATTGCCAAAATCATTGATATCTTTAAGGAATTATTCTGTGGAAACCAATGGTCTACGGTCAGACGAATGAACATACGAACGGTAAACGCAGTACCATAAATGTCCCGAAGAATATTCGTGCGTATAAAAACTGGAGCAACGAGATCAAAATTACATGATCGTATCTCCGGACAGATTCATAACTTTCTGTTATAATTAGTAAAATCATAAGATATGAATTAAGAATGTTATGACAACATTTTAATTGGAACAACATCTGTTTTCTTAAGTCGTATTATCAGTTTTTATATGAATATGCTAATATGATTATATAAATTTTATTGTGTAAACATGTACCCTATTATCATTATTATTATTATTTCCTTTTTTAGTATCTTATCAAATATCAAATATATCTATTTAAATCCATGTGATGCACCTTTATATTAAACATATCATATCACGATACCAGTTATTGTAATTTATTTGCATAGGGGAAGTAGATAGTATGCTTCTAATCTACGACAGATAACTGGTACAAGGTTACTATTTCGCTCGTCGTTTGTGTACAATACAGTGAGTTAATGGACTGCCCAAAACATTAATGAAATGCGAGTGAATATGATAAAAAAAAATATATTCTAATATTCTTTTAGAAATTGAAGGAAATAATTATTAGCATCACTTAAGAAAACTCGGAACTTGAGTACATTTTGATAAATTGAAATTTTGAATTATTTAAAATCAAATCTTTATGCGAACTATTCTGCAGCATGGGTTTTTTTAAAGGATGCGACATTACTTCTCTAAATCCTCTAAGAACTTTTATAGTTGTTGCCTGGTAGTGATAATAAAGTATATAAATGATTTATATTTATGTATAATATGATACTAAGTAT